ATAACATGTGTTTCAATAATTATCAACATTATGCTAACCGTATTTTGTCTTTTTGAACCTTTCTTCTCCACTTACCAAAAGAAATTTTTTGTCTTGATGTGTGTGTTTTTGAGACAGGATTTTGCTCTGTAGTTCAGGCTGGCCTTGAACTCACTACCTATGTAACCCTGGGTGATCTTGAACTTACATGTATTCTCCTGCCTCAGCGTTGGAGTGCTGACACCAGAGGCATCTGCTCCCACACCTGGTCCTGCAGGAATATTGTAGGGCAAATCTTAGTCTGTCGTTTTATCTACACACACTTTAGTATGAATCTCTAACAGATTCATCACAGCCATCACCACAGGTTCCATACCCCTGGCCAAAATGCAAGAGCAATTCCTGGAGCACCCACTGCCCAGACCGAACTTCCCTGACCTTTCCCAACGCATCCCTGTACCGCTGCACTGTTGGCATCTGGACCCACAAAGGTCGATCTCTGGTCTTCATCTCCCGTGTCTTCTAAACTCCTTAGCATCCCCCACCCCCACGTCCACCCTGCGGGTATTTTACGTTTGCTTTTGCAAGACTTCTTTCGTGGGGGAGCTGTCTCTCTCTTCTGTCTCCTGCCCTTTTAGGGGATTCGTGGGGGGACTGTCGGTGCTGCCTCCTCCCCTGCCCTGGGGTACCAGTCAAGAACCCAGTTTTATCTTGGCTGAGTTTTTCAAACTAAGAAGCTTGGGGTAGGGGGTGGGTGCAAGCTGAGATCCTAAGAAAGAAGAAATCGCCAGGAAACAAAAGGCAAACTTAAAACCAGGGAGGCTGCCCCGGTGGCGGCCTTGGGGGGGGTCCCTGCGGAGTCCAGGGCACAGGAAAGGGGCCGGCATTCAGGGCCAGGGCTGCGGGGCCAGCGCTCCCAAACCGAACGCCATTCCCCAGCCCCCTTCCCAGGGCTCGGCGGGTGTGGAGCTCAAGTGCCGGGCGACCTTGAGGTCAGGACACGCGACTGAGAAAGAAGCCCCAGCCAGCGCCGCCGCACAGCGCCACCCACCGGCGGGAAGGGGCCTGGAGCTCGGACTCCCCGGGCTGCTGAACTGGCTGGGAGCCCCCACCTCCAGGTCGCTGGTGTTTTAGTACAGCAGCCTGGACGGCTGGAGACCTCACAAACCGAACCTTTCCAACGCAGCCTGCTCGCGTAGAGGAGACAGTTTTGCGTGAGAACAGCAGGAAGAGAAGAGAAAACCCATGACAGCGTGCAGAGGCAGCCTTTGCTCATGTTTTTGTCCATTTTCTTCCTTTATTTTTCTCTGTTCTCTTCTTTGAAGTGGATGAGGTCAATTTGGTGTCATTTTCCCCCCACGACTCAGACTTTTAAACGTAGGTCCTTCCCATGCCATTGCAAATTTAATATTAAGTTTCCCTCTATCCCCTTAAACTCCCTTGACTGGAAGGGCTCTGGCAGGAGGTCAGGGCTTAAACAGGGAAAAGTAAACCTCGGTTGGTGCAGCGGACCCCCAAGGGCTTGAGTCCTGCATTTATGCATGCGGCCAACTGCAGATTGAAAGCTTTAAAAAATAATAATGACGAATGCTGCCAAAGCTGCAGGGAAAAGGAAACTTCTACATGGCCAGTGGGAGGGTAAACTAGTGCAATCACTGTGGAAGTCAGCGTAGGGATTCCTCACAACACTGAAAGTAGAAATTTCATTTGACCCAGCTGGTCCCCTTCCAGATATCTTCCCAAAACAGTAAAAAAAAAAAAAAAAAATCACCATATTACAGTGATACATGCATACCTGTGTTTACAGCTAAATTTGTAATAGCCAATCTTGGAAACAGCTCACATGTTCATCAATAGATGGGTGGTAAAGAAATGTGGTATTTATGCACAACAGAATACTGCACTGTCATACAGAAGGAGAAAGAATCATTCGTAGGTAAATGGATGTACCTTGAGACCATGATGTTAATGAAACAAATGAGACATTCAAAGTTAAATATCACATGATTTCTTTTATATGAGAAACCCAAAATATAAATAAAGAACAAAATAAAAGCTAGATAATAGGAAGGAGGAAGATCTTTCTCAAATAGGAAGGGGAACAAGAGATGGAAGAAGGGGAAGGGAAGGGGAGAGAAGGAAAAGACATGGAAAAAAAAAGAACTGAACAATAAATGGAAATAGAGCATTTGTAAATGGGAAGGAGACCAAGAGCTGGAAGTATTGTAAACCCAAACAGCGAGTTCAGTCATCCAAGTATTGTAATCCTCTTTCTACTTTTCCTCACAATCCAAAAAGTTCTATTTGCAATTCCACTGAGACGTTATTGGACTTCTACCAAGTTAATTCCAATCTACTACCACCAATGCAACCCACGGTGAGAGTAAAGACACCAAGACATATTCCAAGTTAAGGGCAGCCAAGGGGTCCTGAGTCAAATCCTCATGAGGACAAAAGATCCTAGGCCTCTGGCTGGCCTAGGCTTGGATCCTAGGCCTCTCCCAGTATTTATTATCTGGTGAAGAAGGGGGGGAGGTGGCTCAGGGATGAGTGATAGTGAGGATGGTGGGAATTATGTGAGTAAGTTGAACTGGCTGGCCAGATGCAAGGTTGTCATCTCTGCAAATTGCACAGATAAAGATATGCAGAAGATCAATTTATATAACCCAACTGAGATAGCAGTGGAATTGTTTTGGGGGTCTATGGCTTAGGTATCTGATATGCAAACCCTTGTGCCCTGGGGAGTCACAGCCTCCTATCTTGAGGCTCCTACCCAGTTTACATTCCTGGAGCTGTTTGCTCTAACATCTCCCGTGCTCAATCCTGTATTGTGGAGAACACTATGGGAGGAAACAGGACTGTTGGCTATAGACATTGCATATTAGCACCTCTGACTGGCCTTATTCACAATGCTTAGAGCCAATTGGAGAAGGAAATATCCTAGGTAGCCTTTTACATATCAGTATAATGAAATGAGTCTCCAAGTAATCAAAATCACAGTAATTGTTTCGGATTCAAAGGGAGTCACTGGAGTTGTCTCCCACAGGAAGGAGCAGGGAGGGATGGGGGTTAGGGAATAAATGCAGATTTAAGATATGTTATGTCCAGGTACAGACTCCCCACAGTAATTACAACCATTATGTACTGCGTGGACTAATAAAACAATGATGCCCGCACACAGCACATATTAGCTTTTCTCTTGTCAGCCTTTCCTGAACAGCACAATATACAGTGATTATTTAATAGCATTTACATAGCACTAGGTCTTGTAAGTTACCTGGAGATGGTTTAAAGTGCATGTGAGGATGTGTGGGTTATTTGCAAATGCCACACCCTTACATGGAAGAGACTTGAACAGCCGTGAATTCTGGTCTGTGGTACCCTGGAACCCACCCGAGGTGGATCCCAACGGGTGACCATGGTGTTCAAACCTCTGCAAACCCAAGTCACCAGAGGGTGTCCCTGGCAGGAGCTTAGAGGCTGAGACAGGACAGATTTGCGCCCAAGGGCCCATGGCAGAGAACCCAGTACTGTCTTGTTTCCCTTACTCTGGCCTTTTAAGAAAGGCTTGGAACTTGGCAGCACTGGGGCTGTGGTCTCCTGGAAACTGAGGGGCAGCGAATGCCTCTGTGCTTTAGGGCGTCAGGGAGGCCAATCAGATACAGAAAGGGCTTGCACTGCGCTCTCCTTCTGCCTCCATGGCCTCTCCCTTTCCCATACCTCCCTCTGTTGCTTTCTCTCTAAATTCCACTGATGTAGCTATTTTCTTCTGGCATTTGAGTCGCTAGAAAAGTCTGCAAGCCACTTGATTTTTCTCATTTGTACTCTGCTTAAATCATTATACAGTAATAGTCCTATTTTTAATCACCCAAGAAAATATTTTTACCACGATCTGTACCAGCTGTTTATTTTTCTGAAATATCATTTTAATCTGTAAGATTCACATTTGCTGTTGTTTCAAGGAAATATTGTTGCTTTTTACTTTTCCTGTTCAAGTATTTTGTTTCCTTTCTCAGGTATGTTAACTATTCATTTGTAGGTTTCAGTGCTGGCCTGTGTATTCATATTTTTCTTTAATTGCGTCACTCTTTTTGTCTTATTTGGTCTTTTGAGAAATGTCTTCCTATGTAGTCCAGGTTGGCCTTGAACTCACTGTATAGCCCAGGCTGGCCTCCAATTTGGTGATTCCCCTTCCTCAGCCTGACGAGTGCTGGGATTACAGGTGTGTGCCACCAAGCTTGGCTTTTCCTTTGACTTTCATGTAGTTTTCTATGGACTGTTTCATGTCTGAGAGTGGCTTTTTTTCCTCACAAAATATTTCTTTTATTTAGAATTTATATTGTATTAGTTTGTAAAAATAATTTTAAATACGTAGTGTTCATTAAATTTTAAAGTTTAAATTTATGTTATGCTTTTATTTATGTATCTAGCATTTTCTATATAAATGAGAACCACTTTGATAAACTTAAGACAAAATAAATTTCAATTAACATTTGATCCCAGCTTCCTTTGTATTTATCATTAATGATTTCAATTGTACTTAACAAATCGATATTTGATTTTCCTTTTTAAATTCAAATTGTTCACCTGCAAATCAACGTGCTAGTGGCTGTCTAGCCTAGCTGCAGACAGGCGCACATAGGGTCAGTGACTGGTCCTGGTCCAGGGCCACTGCGCACTAAAGACCCAGGGTGCCTAGCGTCTCCCTTCCTCTTTATTCCTCTCAGCTTCCTGGGGAGGGAAACCTAGGGGAAATCTAGCCCTGCCCCAATCTAGAACTTATGGCCACTGAAAAATGCCTGAACTTCACTGATCCTAGAGGACAGTTGCTGGGGAAAAAACAGAGCTGACTTTGGAATCAAGTCCACCTCTGCTCTAGGATCGGTTATCCATGCAACTTTGGACAAGACAATTCATCTTTCCAGACCTCGGGCTTGCGGTCTTCCCCTAATGCAATCCCTAGTCCTACAGTGGTGGCAGAAGCCAGTTAAGCTGGGTGATTGAGCCCCAGTCCCAGCCGGATGACCACGTCCAACCACGCCCCTCTCCCGCCTGCTTTGGGCCACGCCCCCAGCCCCGTCCACACCAAGACCCCGCCCTCCGCCGCTCCTGCGTTACCTCCCCCGAGCCGCGCGGTGGCGCTAAGTCTCCGCCGGGGCCGGGAGCTGCGGAGACTCGCGACAGCGCGCAGGCGCCTGGGGTCCCTGACGGCGGCGGCGTCGCATAGGGCGACCGCGGTGAGTTCGGCGGGCTCGGGGTTTTCCCGGCCTGACCGCTTGCTCCCGGCTGAGTGGGTGACTCGGGTCAGGGCCGAGACAACGATTACGGCGCGGGGTGCGGAGCGCTGGGTCCGCGACGCGGGAGGCGGCCCCAGTGGGACCCTGGCGACCCCTCCTGCCCCACGACTCCCGGGGACCCTTGCGCTCCGCAGGCCCCTCGCTTGCCTGCTGGCTGGGCCACAGTCTCCAGGGCTCTTCGAGCACCGACGTTTCGGGCCGTGGGCAGGCCGGGGATCTGGGCGCTGATCTCCAGTCCTGCCAACTCCCCTCGCAGGCGCTCCTACCGGTCACCCTGGCCCTTCTCTGCTTGGACGGTGTCTTCTTGTCGTCGGCCGAGAATGACTTTGTCCACCAGGTCCAGGAGGAGTTGGACCGCTTTCTGCTGCAGAAGCAGCTGTCAAAGTACGCGGATGTGAGGGAGCCGCTTTGGTTCGGGGAAGGGTAGGACTTGCCGCCTTCCCTGGGTGCTACCCCCAGGTAACTGGCTAGCGCGTGGCCCTGTCCTTGACTTTTCACCCAAGAACAGCTGCCTAGTCTCTTCCAGCCGCATCTTTCCTTTGTAATTCTCAGCATCACCCGAGACTACATAGCTCCCAGCGATGGCTTTATGCCCAGGTCCTTTGCGGCTGGCTTGGGATTCAGGGGCCTGGCGCTAAGCCACTGTTAACCTGGGCGTGGATCTTGTAAGAGTCAGAGCCCCCGGTGTGGAAGATGTAAGCGACCTCCCCAGCACTTCTTCTGTCCCTTCCCAGGGTTCTGCTTTTCCCCCCACTGTCCAGTCGCCTGCGGTACCTGATCCATAGAACAGCGGAAAAGTTTGATCTCTTGAGCAGCTTCTCTGTTGGTGAGGGGTGGAGAAGGAGGACAGTCATCTGTCACCTGGACATCAGGTGTGTATCCTGTTGCCTGGAGCCAGCCCCTGGCAAGGTAGAGCTTGGCAGGAACAGGGCAGGGAGCCTGCAGGCCTACCTACACCCATTGTATGAAGTTAGTGCTGCTCTTTGATTCCGCAGACACCAACTACTTATGGAATTCACCTGGTAAATTCAGCTGTTCATGTTGGGCCAGATGAGAGTTGGTCTGCCCATGTTCTTGGTTAGCGTGTGCCCCAGAGCAACGATGGCATAGGAAAACGCCTGCCCTGCTGTCAGTCATCTCCTCCCCCATTCATATCTCACAGGATGATTTGTATCATCTTAGCATAGTGGCTCTGGCCCAGCATTTCAGGGCGGGTTTTTCTGATAACAGTTCCACAGTGGGAGTATCTACCCTGTGTGGTGTGTGAATACACATCGGGAGATTTCTGCTTTGTTTCTGGTACCCAAAGGCAAGCTGCTTTGGGAGCTTGTCAGAGATGGCATTCTGCCTCCATAGGATGCCTTCCTAAGGGATTTTTGAAGATCCTTTTGGTTTAGGTTTCTACCTAATACTGGCAGTCACACCTGAACGACAGTTGGCCCCGTATCTCCTGTGAGTCCAGACACACTCTGATCACCACCTCTTATTCTGCTCCAGGGTACGGAGTTCAGATGGCCCCTCTGGCCCCTGCCGTCCACCTGCCTTCTACCCCGGCAAATACCATGGTGCTCGGCCCACCTCAAACCAGGGAGCAGGTGTTGGTCCTCGAGGTCCACAGCCTGGCCGGTGGCATCGTGAACGAAAGCCAGACCAACCTTTGTATGTGCCCCGGGTGCTGCGCAGGCAGGAAGACAGGACAGAGACCTCTACCCCAGGGCTCAAGGGAGAGGCCCCTGCTGGTGGGGCCCTGGAAGAGCCTCCTGATGCTGGTGCTAGGAACCACAACACTGATCAGGTGCTCCCAGTGTTGATGACTCAGGAAACAGAAGACTCGAAGGGCTCAGGCCAAAGCTGTGAGAATGAGCCAAGGCTAGAGCTAGCTGACCCTGAGCCCTCAGGGCCTGAGAGTCCCTCAGGAAAGGAATGTGCAGTGGAGGTGGCCACACAGCTAGAGTCCAGTTTGCAGCCAGCCCTGGAAGAGGAGGACTCCAGTCAGCTGGAGCAGAGTCTGGTGGACAGAGGGAAGGAGGACAAGGAAGAAGAGGCCAGCTGCCCAGAGGATGACTACCGTGAGCTGCTCCAGGAGGTGATAGGGCTCTTGAGCCCAGAAAAGGGAGGGCGGAAGTGAGGTGGGTGTGGCTGCAGGTGGATGGGGTGGAGTAGGGTGCGGGTGTGCCTAGGGGCTCCAGCCTGGGTGTTAGATGGTAGCTGTTCTTGAGGGACTGTGAGGTTGTAGGTATCAATTGGATCCCAGCTCGAACAATTACGAGCTAGTTAACCCTGGGCAAGTCATTTACTTTCCTCAATCTGCTTCTTCATTTGAAAAAAAAAAAAAACCACTTGTAATGCCTCCAGGGTGAGGGAGACAGAGTATACAGTCAGGTACTCACCGAGGCCTACAAAATACTACCCTTCTGCCCAAAGCTTTTCTTTACAAATTGCATTTCCTTGGAACCAGGTGCCTGCTCAAGTTTGGCTGTGGGTCCCATTGGGAGGGCAGGCGCCTTTGCTGTCTTGTACCTGAGGGATGGAGGTTGGACGGACTTGCTTAATATCCTCTCATTAATAAGATGACATTAACTATCCTGGGCTTTCCCAGCTTTGTCTTCAGTAACTGCAACCCTGGGCAAAACTACTTATCTCTTCACACTTAGTTTTGTCCTCTGTAAAGTGAACCCATAAACTGAGCTTTTCAGGATTATGTGAAATGTGTGCAGGTACCAGTCACCCCATGGGGACTCTGTAGACTAAGTCCCCTCCTTTGAGCCCCTGCTTCCTGATCTCCCAATCTGTATGTGAGCTTGTGCTGGGGGCTCCTGCTGGGCTGGGCTGGGCTGGTTTTAAAAGCAGTTGTTCGGGGTCCTGTGTGCCAGAACTCCTTTGCCAAGGGGTCTGATCCTTCCCAGATCACAGCGAACCTGACAGAGAAGGAGATTGAGATAGAAAAGGCACAGCTCGATGCGTCCTGCTTCGTGGAGGAGCTGCCTGGGGAGAAGGACCTGGCACACGTGGTGGAGATCTATGACTTCGATCCGGTGCTCAAGACGGAGGACCTGCTGGCAACATTTTCTGAGTTCCAGTGAGTGCTGGCTGCTGGGTAGAGGAGGAGGCAGGTGCCTGCTTTATGGAAAGGACCGAGGACAGCCCTTCATTGTTGGGGACACCTGCCAGTCCTACCTTTTACCTCATGCTGCAGAGAGGTGGGCTGTGTTCGGGGCGGGTGAGCCTGCTGGCCGTGGCTGGGAAGTGATGCTGTGGTTGTAGACACGTTCTGGGACCAGCAGGTCTGCAGCAGGCCCAGGGCCATCTTGGTGTGGGATCTATTTCTGAGATCCGGCTCAAGCAGCAGTGGAGCCAGGGAGCTATCTGGAGAGTTCCTGGTTGTCTCAGATGCCTCTGGATTCAACTTCCTGCTTTTTTGTCTCTTCTCATTTTGCTTTCTCCACTGCTTTACTTTTTGGCATGGGATTGGAATTATTTATTTGTTTGTTTGTTTAATTAATTAGAGACAGGGTCTCGCTCTGTTTGGCTGGCCTGAAACTCAAAGCAGTGCTCCTGCTGCAGACTCCCAGTCTGCATGCTGGCATGCAAACCTTCTGACTGCTTCCTATCTCATCTTCCTTTACACTGTCTGTGTGAAGGGGGCGTGGTATGCCCTTCTGTTCTCAGGTCACTAGGCCAGGTGGGCAGGGTCACCAGAGGAGCTGGGCAGGCCCACAGCTGCTGTTGGCCTCTCCAGAGTGCAGAGAAAGGAAGCTGACTGGGCAGAGTTCAGACATGCTTGTCTGGGGTTCCCCCTGCTGCCCCCACCTCAGCCTCCAGCCTCTGCATTGCTCTGGGTGGGGTAGTGTTGGCGAGGTGCTTCCTTCAACCTGGCCTTGTGCCATAGGAACCTTTTGCATGCTAGTCCTTCAATGTGGACACAGGGGACCCGCCTGACCTCGTACAGGGTGACATTAATCTTTGTGAAGCTGACCAGAGGCTCTTCAGAAAAAGCTGATGGTGAATGATCCTCTCCTTCCTGGAAAGGATGGACCCTTGTCTTGGGGTTTGAGGACTGGAGGTGGGAAGGAGCTTGCCTTTGAGAGCTGCAAGAAAGAGCTTGGCTGCTGACCCTTGTAACCATCTGGGTCCTGTCCCGACACAGGGAGAAGGGGTTCAAGATCCAGTGGGTGGACGACACCCATGCACTCGGCATCTTCCCTTGCCTGGCCTCAGGTAAGGGGGCTCTGTGGTAGGCTTCTCCTTGTCTCTGACTAGCACATGGAGGGGACCCTGGGCTACTTGGGCAGGGTATGACCCATCTCCAGGTGCAGGCCATCTTGGGCCAGTGGTCTTTACTCCCTGCCAGCCCCAGCTACAGTTTGGGGTTTCCTGGGACATCTTCAGCCTTTCCTGTTCCTGCTGGTGTCTTCTGAGCAAGGACTTTGGGTTCTGTGAGCACAGGCCAAGCCCTAGGTCCTTCCTCCGGAATGGGACTGTCGGAGTGCCAAACTTCCCTACTGGCAGTTTCACAGAGTGCAGGTAGAAGCATCCCCATTCTTTTTCCAAGTTCCCAGAACGCCATGGGGAGCCCTTCAGGGTCCATGATGAAGTCATCTCTGACTCCAGCTTGTCCCTCTTTAGCTACTTTCTTCTCACCCTGCCACCTGATTTGCTTCTTTGGACATCTTTATAAATAGCCTGAACTGCATGGCCTTCTGAACACCAAAACGAGGTGCCTTCTGCGCTGCTCGGCCTGGTCCTCAGAGCCTGGACTTCGAGGATGTTCAGGGGACAGCGGGATGGGATACTGGATGTCTCAAAGCCCCAGAGAGGGAGCCACTGAAAGGGAGGCAGGGAGAGAAGGCTGGGCACCAGCTAATGTGGGAAGAGCAGGCTTTGACTAGAGGTGGCCATGGCTGTCTCTGGGCTTTGACAGTGTGACAAGAGCAGGTCATGTCCTGGCCTCAGTTTCCTCATCTGTAAAACAGCAGATGGTAAGGACCCGACCCCTAAGCTCTGTCACATTGTGCTCTATGGATAGCCCAGGTGCTGCATGGCTGAGCATGACTAGGGCAAGCAGCTGAGGTGCCCATGGCTCAGGTTGGAGGAATCTGGTGTAAACTGGGCTCTGTGCTTCCTCCTGGGAGGATCGCAGCCTTGCTGGTGTGGCTCCTGGCTGGCAGCCTGGGGCATCATCTGTGAGGCAGGAGGGCTTCCCCTGGGCAGGTTTGCAGGGATCTAGGGCATGAAGGCACAGAGGCCCAGCCAGAGCAGTGGCAGGGGCACTGCCCAACCTGGGATGGGTAGGCAGGGTGGCCAAGCAGCCAGGCCATGCTCTAGCTCTGCTTGCCTTCCACAGCCACTGAAGCCCTGACCAAGGAGTTTTCCATTCTCAAGATCCGGCCGCTCAAGGAGGGAACCAAGCAGTCAAAGCTCAGAGCCCTACAGAAGCTAAGTAAGGACGCGGGTACATGTACTGGGTTTGGACCATGCTCTTCCCTGTGTACTCCCGACTTTCGGTTCCTTGCTTTTCAGGAACCCCAGGGGGCTGTGCTCCTCCCTCCAGAGGGTCGGGGGTGGAGGAGGAGTGGTGTCTGCAGCTGCTGCCCGGGGTTGCCCTCTGCTTGCCCCTCGGTGCCACCGGGTAAAGCTTGGCTTCCTCCTGAGGGCCGTGAAGACCATGCCTGGCAGGGTGTCGAAAGTGCTTGGGCTTTGGCGCCAGCCGTGGGTGGGTTCTGGCTCTGTCACTTATCTCAGCTGACTCTGCATGAGCCACTTAGTCTGTGAGTGCATTTCTTTCCCTGTAATGTAACATTACCCAGTAGACCGGAGGCATGAATGAGAGCATGCACACTGCCTGGGGCCACGTAAATAAACTTGAATCCCTGCCTTTACATTCTTCTCCTTTGAGAAAGCACAGAGGGGTCTTTTAGGCCATTTTTCCATGATTGCAAAATAGGCCAAGGCAGGTCTTCCAGGGCCAGCCAGGCTGTGTGGATGGTGAGGAGTTCTCTAGGCCAATAATGTCTGTCAGGCCAGAGCCCCAGGTGTACCACCCTGACTTGATTTCCCCTGAGAGCCCTACAAGACAGAGAGGGTTGACCCCTCTCCACCTGCACTGTACAGGGGAACAGGTTCCAGGGCAGACAGATTTAGGCCAGCATCCCATTGGAAGCCCTGAGTTCATAGCCACACAGACCCCGCTTATACAACACCTGGCTGTGGTGGCACAGCTGGGCCTTGCCCCCTCCCCCAGCTCCTGCAGCTTCTAGGCTGCTCTGTGCCAAGGTTTGATTCAAGCTCCCCACCTCCTTTCAGAGCTCCTGCAACTGGTGAAGGAGAGGCCACAGACAGATACGGTGGTGGCCCGGAGGCTGGTGGCCCGGGCTTTGGGGTTCCAACACAAAAAGAAAGAGCGGCCTTCCAGTGCAAGCAACCACCTGTCATCCCAAGGTCCCAGGCCTGGCTGCCCAGACTAAGCCCGGGCCCAAAACCACAAGCCTTTACAGACGCCAAGAGAGTCCTGTGCCTCTGTGTGAGCCTCAGTTTAATCCCAGAAATTGAAAGGAAATTAAAACTAAAGTTCTGTTTGCTTGGAAATGTGGTCTGTGATGGGGCACTAGGGGGCGCTGTACCATTGCCCACTGTGGGCCTGTGGCTGCTGGACACTAAGCCTCCCTGGGACCTGACCCTGGAGTTCCTGTCAGGACCCTGGAGCATTTATCCACAGCCCACCCTGTTTGGGGAGTAGCTGCACCTGCTATGCCACCTGCTCGTTGTCTCTGACATTTTAAATATCCTACTGCCTTCCCCTAGGTGGGCCCCAGTATTGTCAGTGCAGGTCACAGGGGCCTCCTCCTAGGTGCACACTTGGCCCATGGCTAGGATCTGAGTGCAGGCTGCCTTTGCTCCTGCCTTCCTCACTGCTGGCTCTCGCGGAGAGTGGATGCCGAAGTGGCCCAGCTGGAGCTTTGGGGTCCCAGTGGACTCCTGAGTTGCTGACCTTCACCCACCCTCCCCAAAGGTGGGAGCCTGGGTCTAGGTGAGTGTGGCTTTGTGGACCACCTGCTCCCCTGCACTGGGAAGGGTGCAGAGCCCTGCTCTGCCAGTGCATACTCCTTTCATGTAGAAACTTAGCTGCCCCTGTGGTCCTGACTGAGCAGCTCTACCCTAACAAGTTTTAGTACGAAGCAATGGGAGTTCCAGAAAACTTGCTGGGTCTTTGTCAACTTTTGTGACCTTCCTAGTCTGATTTTCGGAGGACTGTAGTTGCTGCCTTCATAATCTGTGTTGAGGAGCCCCCAAGGGCACTCTGGCTGAGGGGCATGGGAACCAAGTCTGAGAGGGTGACTCGGAACCCACATGAAGCTCCTTTCCAGCAGGGGATGAGGACCTGGAGGCCGGGAGCAGTGGTGCAGATGAAGCCCAGGTGCCGGCATGTGTGCGTGTGTGTTGACACAGACTGGTGAAAGTCCCTTTGTCCCAGGACCCAGTTAAGCACCACTGAGTCAGTAACCCCCAAACTGGAACCACGGAAAGATGACTCACTGACACTGGTTTTTCTCTTGAGCTATATTTTTGAAGGCTCAGATGCCCGATATTAAATGCCACACTAAATGAGTTGTGTTTCAAAGGCCGTGAAAATACAATAATGGTATCATGAGAAGCAAGAGAGGGTGGAGAGAAGCACCAACAAGAATCAGCACCAATCTGAGCGCACCTAATGAGAAAATGTGGCAACATTACAGCAGTCCTCCCTTATTCATGGTTTTTCTCTCTGAGGTTTCAACTGTGGTCCAAAAATATTGAATGAAAAATGAAGCACTTTCAGAGTTAAATTTTACAGTCCTGAGTCGCATGATGAAAGCTTGTGCCATCCTGTGTCTCACCTGGGAGGTGCCTCATCCCTTTGCCCAGCACATCCATACTATATACGCTATCCACCCATTAGCCACCCAGTGCCATCTCTCTTATCAGATCCACTGCCACAGTGTCTCAGGGCTTGTGTTCAAGTAAATCTCATTTTACTGAAAAATGACCTCCAAGTGCAAGAGTCATGCTGTTGGCTATTCAGATACGCCAAAGAGAAGGTGGAATGTGCTTCCTGTAGGTGAAAAACTGAAAGCACCATAAGATATTTGGGGAGAGGGACTACATTTATGAAACTTATTACAGTATAGTTACAGTTGTTTTATTATTTGCTGTTTTTCCTAACCTTCCTAATAAGGCACTTACTGTGCCTAAACAAAATGTTATAGGTATGTATAGGAAAAAGTATTGTGGATATAGGATTTGGCATTGTGGTTCCTGGAATGGATTCCCATGAATAAGGGTGGACTACTGTACTTATGATGGCATTTAACTGAGCAGAGCCAGTTGTCAGACTTTGGGGGAGAGGTCTGTATTCAAGTCTGCTGGGATTCAGCCTGGCCCCCTCTGGGCTCACAGCTCCCGTGTGCCCCCTTGTAACTGCAGAAGGAAACGGCCCCACGTGAACCGTGCATAGTCTGGGGGCATCAGATGGAGGTCCCAGAGCCAGTGCAAGCTGGTGCGTGTCACCCCAGATCCTGGCAAGCTTGGCTCCCAGTACTGCTCCCACAGCCCATGGCTGAGCCCAGCCCCTAAGGCCAGCCCAGGCCGCAGCACCTGGTGATGAGGGTGCACCCTCCTCCTGAGTTGAGTCTGGATGGCCGCCGGGGGGATACCGTGTGACCCGAGAACAGGAGGTGACCCCGAGGCTTCTTTACTGCGTGGAGAGCTGGTTATTTAAGAGTCCACTGAACTGCTCAAACTTCTGTTCTGTCTCCTCACTCAAAGAGCCACCTGGGGAGGGGAATTGGAAGAAAGTTTGGCCAGTGAAATAGATGCTCAGCCCTGATCCCAGCCAGCCACGCAGCGCCACCAGGCTGCAGTATCTTTAATCTTTACTGTCACCAAGACTGAGGTCTGTCACCTTCCTGCACAGGAAAAGGCTCTGCTTTCCTTTGTGCCCCTAGAGTCACATAATGCAAGAAAAAAAGCCATAAACTGATACAAGAAGTAACAGCGGTTCACTCGCTGCTAAGTTTTCACAGAGGAAAACTCGATACCCAGCCCACAAATTGCTGACGCCCACATTTTTGAGGTCACATGCATGATGCGTTGGTGCCTCAGCTCAAGCCCTTTAAAGAGCTCTGGGGTCTGCTCTCCTGGGCCTGCCCCGTTCTGTGGCCACCCTTTCTCCTGGGGCCAGAGCTGGCTGTGACACACAGCCTCCGCCCAGGCCTCTGGAGCTGTTTGCTTTCTTCCTGAACACGGGAATGTGGTGCTGGCTGCTGCCTCTGCTTCCTGGAGAAAGTAGGGCAGCTCTGCCTGGTCCCGAGGGCGGGCCAGGGCAGCCCAGGGCCCTTACCTATGTGGCAGTTGTACATCCAGATGCGGTGGCCATCATAGCGACATCTGCACTTCATGATGTTGTTGGAGAAATCGGACTCTGGGACCTCGTAGTTGGGGTTAATGACAACCTGAGAGGAATCAAGTCAGAGGAAGCTGCTGAGTCCCTCCTTGGTCATCCTGTACCCGGAGCTCAGGGCTCTGCTGAGGCTAGTCTGGCTTCCAGAGCTGGTGGATGCCACGGGAGGTGCCAAGGAGTAGCTGAGGGCAGGCCTGGCCAGAGGGGAGATGCCGGGTCCCACTCAGCAAGGTCCTTAAGCTAGGGCAGAGCTGAGCTCCGGGTGGCGGAGAGGAGCATGGTCTGGAACAGCGAGGCCTCAGGACCTTGCCTGTCTTGGTGTGACAAGGGGAGGCCTTTAGCAAGGTCATCTTCTCCTGGGGGCCCCAGAACAAGCTGTGGGGCCCTCCCTGGAAGGAAGAGGAAGCAGGCTGCAGAGGTGTGGGGAGAAGGAAGAGGGCTGCCCGGGGCAATGGTGACTTTGCGGGCCCCTCCCTATCTCTAGGTCTAGGACCAGGCAACTCGAAAACTTTCTGCTCCCAGGCGGCTGCTGGTGGGGAGAGGACCCGCTCTGTGCCCAAGGGTTGACCATTATTCTGAGAGGGGTCTGGGAAGGGACCAAAAGGGGAGGTTTAGGGTGAGGAACTGAGGAGAGAAGCAAATGACAGGAGGCAGAGGTGAGAAGACAAAAGCTGTGTCTGAGGCAGTGAGTGCAGGTGCAGGGAACACAAGTGACAGGACTTCCCTTGGCTAGGGGTTGTGACTGCTTAGGAAGACTACAGGTGTGGGGCTCCAGAGGAGCCTGGACGGACCGCTTAGGCCTGCCTGCTTGGAGAGAAAGAGAAAGTGAGGCCAGCTTCTGGCTGGCTTGGCAGAGGCCACTCTGAGGACCTGTGTCTGGCTTGGCTGGCTAGATCTGTCCTTGCTGACAAAGTGCTAAGTGTCCTGCTATAGAATGGCCTTTTTTTTTTTTTCCCATTTGTACTCAGTAACCTTGCTGTCACATCAATCCAACTTACGTGATGGGACAACACCTTGCATGCTGTGATCCCTCGGTCCCTTGTCCACCCAGGTGTCCCTGAGGTGCATTAAGGGCAGTGGGACACAGTCAAGCCAGAGCCACGAGGGTCAGCATGGCCTGCTTCGGTGGAGGAGACGGGGGCTGAAATGTGTGATCCCCGTAGGCCCACCCCGCTCTCATAACTGTGGTTCCAAATCTCGTCAGCCTTCATGGGAAAGGCCTTAGCTTCCTGTATTTTTGTGACTTTGGGAAATGACAAGAAGATGAAGCAAGGGTGACTGAAACCTAGTGACCCACAGAGCTGTGCCCTGTGATCCTGCACACACAGGTCCTGGCCTGGCATCCCCCTCCCAGTTGCCTGGCACCCTCTTTCTGTCTCTGCAGCGAAGGTGGACACTTGTGTGGTGACCTCCTGGCGCTGGCTCTCAGGTATCGAAAGCTCTGTGTCTACACGGAAGCACATGTTTCCTTTCAGCTCATCAGCAGCATTGAGCCACCCCTCATGCATCCATCTGCTAGCTGCACGGCCTAGGTCAAAGACACACACACGCAAACACAGAGGTGATAGGACCTGGCTTTGCCTGGCCATCAGTCGAGGACAGTAGCAAGACCTCTTCTCCAGTGTGTTTAAAGAGGTGATGCAGTCCATTCACTGGGCCACAGCAGGGCCCAGATCAGCGTAAGTATTCAATAAAAACCTAGTTAGTAAGCTGATGGCATGTCAGAATCCACACTGACACTGCTCCATGGACGAGCTGCCAACAGAAGTCATCAGTGCTATATATGTGCACACGGCCACAGGTACTGATTTGCTAGAATAAAGAGCCACTTGGCTAGGTCTCTCCAAGTCTGTGGTTCAGACTTGTGGGTGGAACAGGGCTTGGCAGTCTGACTCCCAGCCTCTGACACTGCCAGGGCAACCTCTCAGAGTCCCTGTGGTCAGTTCTCCACAGGTGCTGGTTCCTCAGGGAGACTGCGCCTGTGGCGGGGACCATGAGCCAAACCCCTGGGCTGGCTCCGTGCCTTCTCAGGAAAGTGCTCAGGGCAGAGTCACACACTCTGGTCACCCACCCTGCCACCCAGCAGGGCAGGCAGGAGAGCAAGACTAGTGGGGCTGTGTCGGAATGACCACTCTGCCTGCACAAGTACAGCTGTGTACCAGGAGGGCAGGCTGGGGTGACACAGGGTCTCCTGTTCCCTACCAGGTGGGCCTGGCCTAGAGCATGCTGCTGTTTGCAGGAGGGTGGGAGCCAAGGCTCTCTGCCTCCTTTGCAGGGCTACCCTAGCACAAATATGTGGAAGCCCTGGGAAGACCCCACAGAACACCCAGCTGGCCAGGCTGTCCTTAGCACTTGACACTCTACTGTTAGAGATTTGTTTCTCAGTGTAGACAGTGGTCTTGCTGCAGATCCTGTTTTCTGACAGAGGGTTGTCACCAGCACTTGTGAGTGACCAGGTCTTTTTGAGATTGCTTTCAGCTTCCACATCCCAGATCCAGGGAGGGTGAGGTCACTGGGGAAAATCAGGGTGGAGGAGAGAGAAGTCTGAAAGGAGGCCAACAGTGTGAACTGCTTTAGAGTCTAGGCCACTGGTACCTGGCCAACATCAGTCTGCAGATGCATTTGTGTTTGGAAGCCCTGAGGGTGAACTGAATTACCTGCAAATGTCACGGCATACTGGGTTACCTAGGCTACCCCGCCTCACTCACTTAGTTGATCTGCTAGATGCGGTGGTCTCTACGTGGCACCTGTCTCATCACTGCCTGGCCTCTGTGGCCTGTTCCCAGCACCTCTGGAGAGGGGCTGAGGGGCTGTCCCTCCTCCCCTCAGTGGGGTCCCAGGCCCTCCCCCTCACCTGGAACAGGTATTCTCCAGGGGGCACATCGGTGATGTCAATCCACTGGCAGTCGATATCATGGCGGTAAATGTCCCAGCAGCCCATGGTGATGCCCTGCTCCCCAAAGTTGGCACACTCGTAACTTTTCTGAATATCTGCAGGCAGGGGTACAGAACAGCCTATCACCAACCACCCACAGCCCTGCTGCCCCAACTCCTCACTTCTGCCTCCTCTGATCTGCTCTTTTAACAGAACCCCCCCTCTGTTCCCTATCCACATGCCTCTCCTTCCTGCCCACCACTCTGGCCTGCTTGTGAAACCCTCAGCTTGGGGACTGACTGCGTGTTTTTTTTGCGGGGGAGGGGGGGCATCTCTGATCTACTTTTTAGCTTAGCATGGGGTCACATCATCTCTCTGCTGGACAGCAGCTTGAGTGTGGGCTCCTGTGTGATGCATCTCTAAGTCCCTCACAATGGCCTGCACACAGGAGGTGCCCCAAGCCTGTCTGCAGTGTGACTTTATGTGCTTCTTCAGTGACAGCACAAGGGTACTGAGGGGCAGCCATAGAGAGGCCTGGTGTGTCACAGCGGCAGTGCAGGACAAGGTGATCACACTGCTGGCGGGCGGGGACCTGTCATTGAGGCAGGGCAGAGAAGCTGGGACTTCCTATGCTCTTGGACCTGGAGGGTCACAGCTTGATGGTGAGGGGCACTGGCGCACCCCAGAAGAAAGGCTTATGGAAGGCAGAGCAAGACGGTGTGGGAGCCAGGCCCAAGGAACTGGACCTTACTGGGGAGGCTGTGTGACCCTCCTGGTGCCCACTGGCAAACTCAGGGAACACCTTTAGAACCAGGTCTCGCCCACCCCAACCCCAACCTGTAGCCCAGGAAGACTAGAGAGTTGGGCAGGCAAAGGCCCAGTCCCAGGAAGACCTAGAGAGCTGGGCACGCAAAGGCCCAATGTAGACAAAGGATGCCCAGGACTACCCAGAGTTGGTGGGAGCCCCTCCGAAGCCCCCAGCCCCTGACCACAATGATACCTCCTTCGCATTCAGTGTCCTCCAAGCAGAAGCTGGCCTTGTGGCCCTCAGCCACCTTGGTGCCATTGAGGCTCAGCAGGTCGTAGTAGGTGAATACTTCCATGCTGTGGTAGTGTCTGTGAGCAAGGAGGGCCCTCGGTCAGGGTCTGCAGCCACTGCAGCCTGCAAGCTGCAGCTGCTCAGCGGGAATCTGACCTCGGGGGACAACTAGGGGTGGCAGGGAGAGGAAGAGGGAAGACCTGGGAAAGGAAGGAGGTGCTTCCCAGAAAACGCCAGGCCCTGGATTGTGCACCGAGTGGCACCAGGTCCGATGGCTGTTTATCGCTGCGCCTTATGTTCACCCCAGGGGTCCTTGGAGCCCTCAGCTGGGCCTCTCGGCTCATTCCTAGATTCTCTACACTAATAAAGAGAATCACATCCTGATGTCCTTTGGACACATTTTAAGGTAGAAATATGGTAGGGAGGGAAAAAGAACGAAAGGGGAGGAGCTGAGTCTGGAGGACAGGCTTGCGCTTCCCAATAGGAGGAGGTGGCCTGGATTTGCCTCGGCCCTGGAGGGCAGTCACAGCCCTGCGCCTCTTGCAGTGAGACATCACAGAGAGGCAGAGGGAGACCAGAGGACTCTGGGAAGGACAGGGCACCCCTGGGACAACTGCAGTGGGGCAGCTAGGGAGGAGGCACTTCCTGGGGTTCAGGAAGGGAGTACTCGGGCTGCAGTTTCCCCGCTGAGTGTTTATGATGTGCCATGTCCTCACTTGGGAGGAATTGAGAACAGATGCGGAATCTTGGTAAGTGATGCCCTTGGTTCAGAATAAACAAGGCAAACGCCACTTTCCCAATAACCCACCGCCCAGGCCCAGAGCCTGAGGCACAAATGAGCTGGCTTCCGCCCTATCCTAACCTGTGTGTCCCCCAACTATTCCAGCACAGGGACATTTAGAAAATGGGGAGCACAGAAAAACGAGGTACCGGGGAGCAGGGACATAGTTCCCGCTTGGTTCAAGCTCCAGCTGAGTGTCTTCTCATGAGGGGGCAATCACAGCACAGCCACCTCTCAGGGCCAAGGACTGGACAGGCCAGAAGCCGTGAATGCCTCCCGCGGGGCTGGAACCGGAGAACCGGTCCCTGTCAGCTTGCCCACCACCAGGCCTGCCCTTAGCAGTGTCAGCAGTACTCTGGTACTTCATACTGTTGGCGATGCTGACTCCCAGGCCCCTCACTTCCGGGGCCTCCTGCAGTGACCTTGGGTCCCCCTGTATGTGGGCAGGGGGAGAGGGAGAGGAGAAGGGGAAGGATGGGTTTTCTGAGAGGAAATTAGAGACTCTTCTCTTCTGCCTGTGTTTGCTTGTACTAAAAATAACATGGAAGTTGCTAAATTGGGCTTCCCCCAGGTCACTCATGTTTTGGGGAAACTGGGGCCAGGCCAGGAGCCCAGGGAGAACTTGCACAAGGAGGATTTTGTGGCAGGTTGAAAGATGACTCTGAAGAGTCTTGTTTGGCTTCCTGAGGCAGCCCGGTGAGACGTGAGGTCTGACTCATGGCCTAAAAAGTGTCTGTTCTTTCCGAGAGTGGCTTATGTGACCGTGCTGCTGGCTGGAAAGACTGAAGAGAGGTAGGGCTGTGTTCCCCGTTGTCTAAACAGAATGCAGACAGAGCACACAGACGGGCTGTTGTAAGGCGGCCTCTGCCACCCGGCTTCCTGTGGGCCTGACTGAAGGCTCCTCCAGCTTCAGGTTTTTCCCTGCAAATGCCGGCAGGGGAGTAGCTGGCTTCTCTGCCTCCCTGGTTTTCTCTGTCCCCTACAGCATCTCTGTTCACCTCTCGGGCACAGGTGGGCATTGCTCCCTCCCTCCCCAGTGCCACATCTCCTTCCCTGCTGGCTCGAGGTGGAGCATGCCCCTGACAAGGTACAGCTGGGCACTGTGGGAAGGTGGAGGGCAAGTCCTGGTCACTAAGGTTGGCATCCTCGGCCCCCGCTGGAGGTTTAGGGAAGGACATGAGCCCCAGGGTGGAGAAAGGGAAAGAAGTCCCGGGACCCTAAGAGGCCTGAGGCTCGGTGGAAGTCCTTGTACCCTGGACAGAAGGAAGGACCACAGCACAGCGTGCACAGCACTGCGTCTGAAGACCTGGCCCTGGCGGAGGGAGGAGGTGCTGCCTGGAAGCCAGTCCCAGAGAGCCGTGAGGGTCAATCTGGTGTCTTCTTTGTTGTCCTAGGTCCTTGGTGGTCCCTATAAAACTCTCAACCAGACACTCAATGTGCTGGGCAATTAGATCTGGGTCCCAAGTCTTCGCCCACATCTGCTCTATGCTCACTGAGCCTCTTGAAGGGACAGTCCTAGGGCACACTGCCACCACTGGGCACTGCTCCTGCCCTCATTTCAGACACCCTGGGGCTGTTCTCCAGTCTCAGGAGCTGTCATAGAGGCCCTAGCCCTTCTGTGGGCTCCACTCTGCCATCCTCCAGTGCCACCCTTTAGCCCCCTGGAAGGAACAAGGCCTACCATATGGTGAGGGCCTGTCGCTGGCCACATCTGTGGACTGTGACCCTCCATGGATCTGCTCAGCACATGGTGAGGCCGGGCAGGCTCCGTGGGAGCTCCCTCCTGCAGCGGTGCCATCCCTTCCTCGGGGTCTGTCATCTCTAAGGAGCGCCCAAGGCAGGAGGACTGCTCTAAGATCACCACCCAAGGGCACAGTGACTGAGGAGAGAACAACTCTTGAGGCCCATTTCTTTATGTCCTGCTGCACCAGCCTTCATCTCCCAGCCTAAGGCTTTCAAACAAGGCTCTGTCCCTCACTGTCGCATCAGTTAAACTGGCAGGGGAATATTCTCTCCATTCGCATTTGAGCTGGGGCTCTCCCACTTGGCTCTGAAGATGGGCTTCACAGTGTGTGACGTCTGCAGAGATGGGATATTAAGTCTTCTCGAAATCAGTTTTCTGACCTGAGGAAGACTCAGCTTTCATCAGCCTCCCAAAGGAACCTAACAGAGATTTAAGACCGCACATCCTGTTCACAGAGCCTTTCAAGGAACTTGGAGAAGTCATGGGGGCTCAGGAGGCTGGAAGGGGTCGTCATCTGCTCCCCAGGACTTTATAATCACAGCTTCTCAGTTATGGACTAGAAGGAGAGGCTGGAGGGCTCATATTTAGTCAGCATGTTCTTCTCTACCCAAACCATTGACCAGAACATCTGTAAGCACAGGAATAAAACTAACCACTGGAAAAGTGGGGGGAGTCACAGTCTCTGGGACTCCAGACCAGGACATTTCTGTGATATCACTGTGACTATTCTTAGTGAATCTGCCTCCCGGGGAGAAAGTATATGGCACTTGGAGACTCCTACCATGTAATCTTTGGGCGGGCCGCCATGGGTGGGGTGGGATACAATTACCCTCCACTTATAGCCCCATAGGCAGTGTCAGCGCAGCTGGCCCTGGCTTCCAGCCCTGTGTTCTCTATAGCAAACCAGCCGCCAAGATGGTCACGACCCTAACCCAACTCCATGCTGGTGAAATTCTTTGGCTCACTGGGACTTCCAACACATCTGGATAATCACACTAAAAGAAAATCAGACCCTTAAATGCTGTCATAGTCTTTTCTTTTGAAACAGGTTGAGCAACTCTGTCCTCAAACATCTGAATGTGACTGTAAGTCATGATATGAAAAAGAAGCTAAAGCAGGATTCTGATGATGATTCAGCAGGGGTCACGGCATATGACAGACAGTAAGTTAGGGAGAAACTTACCATAGGCAGCCAGACAGGCACAGGCCCTCAAGAGTTGGCGCGGGAGATGAGAACACAGAGCAGCTCTGAGGAGGGGAACTGGTCAAAGACCAGACCTCCAGACAAAAGACAGAATGACTATGCCTGCATCCTTCCCCTACAGATGACCAGCAGGGACTGATACTATATTCTAAATAGGTATTGATCACTTTGGGTGGAGGGCCAGGAAGAGCCATGGACCCACCCACTCCAGAAACGACCTGTTTATGCTGGCTACAGGTCTGATCCTCATTTAATCAGTACCACCTAAGTGATTATACTTGTAATCGTACATAGTTTTGTTCCACTTCACACCCACCTCATGATTTCACACTTAACATTACCAAAGTGATTATACTCGTAATCTTATTTGTTCACCATAGTTTTATCCCAACTCATGCCCACCTTGGGATTTCCCACTGGACTAACATTACCCAAGTGACTAAACTTGCAATCTCATTAGTTGATTACAGCTTTTCCCCCCTTAGACCTGCTGCTCACCTCATGGCTTTGCTCTCTCAAATTCCCTTGAAAAGTGGGTCCTTGGCAACCCATGTGGGACTCCTTCTGCCTCTCTTAGAAGCTTTGTTTCCCCAATAAATATATTTTGCTCTTAACCTCCTTTGTTCCTGGAATTCATTCTTCGATTTTAGAGAACATGGACTCCTATCAGATACCTAACAGGTTGGGAGTTGTATTTCCCCTATAGCAAAGCTACTGATTAAAGGTCACTGGCAAGGCTGGGTGCCTGGACAATAAGTTGTCTAATGTCAGAAGTGCTTCAGGCAGAAGGGGGACTCTGGGGAAGGGGAGGTGGCCTGGGGTGACGTGGAGAATGGCTTCTGTGAACTGTCCCCTGGGCCACATGTGGCCTCTCAGCCCTCCCTAGGTGACCCTAGCCATTCCTGACACCCCTGCCAGGCCTCAGGAGGCGTCAGGTCGGGATAGCAGGCGGCGGTGGGCGGGGCCCTACCTGTGACAGTCGTGCCAGATCCACGCGTGGCGGCCGTTCTTGGGCCGGAAGTCAGACTGGCCATTGTTGTGGATCTGGGAGGAAAAGCGTAGCAGGCGGCGGTAGTGGCGGGCCAGCTCCTCGTCACTTTGCACCAGTGCGGCAGAGGCCGAGAGGCAGTTCTCCTCCCGGGCACACAACAGCATGGACATGGGCCGCTCCTCCAGGTAGGTGGTTTGGCGCACCAACTCAGCGTTCAGCACCAGGTCGGGGGCGGCTAGATGGACGGACAGGGTGGTCACGCCACGGGAGACCCCTCCTCGAGGTTCCTTCTGATCCCTAGGCCAGCACAGCCCCTGTCCTGCCTGTCACCATCTTCTGGAACAGACTTGGGGACTCCTCACGATCCCCATCCTTGCTGGCTTTGTTCACAGCCTCTCCCTCGCTGGGGCTCTTTGGACACCTCATCTCTTATCCACACAAAATGCTTATGAGTGGGATCTGGGGAGCGGGTATGCAAGGGCTCGTTATATTATTCTCTCAAGTGGCTTCCAAATGCTCCATAATAAAAAAAGAAAGAAAGAAAACCCCAACAATAATGACGGGAGAGAGAGAACTGCTCCACCCTTGGTTTGATTTTTCTGGGCAGAGTGTACTTTCCAACATGTATAATACTCATATAGATTTACAGTCTGCTAAAACTGTTCCTCTTAAAATACATCTCCACTGCTTGCACAGATATCTCCATTACAACACTCACTTTCATGGCTACATAATATTTATTTCATAACTTCACCTGCCACATCTTAGCTGTGCACACTGTTTGGAATTTTTGGAGCTAAGGACGAAGCTGCGATAAACACCCTACAGTAAGTGTGCATATACAAATTCAGTTTTTTTCCTTAGGAGACATTTGTATCAGTGAAATTGCCAGAAGACAGGGTTGCAAAATATTATAGCTCTGATGCCTGTCGCCAAATTGCCTCCGTAATCAGTTCTTTATGTCCACCACACACAGTTTTCCTGAGCTCCTGAGTTCTTTAAAAAGGGCTTGACTTTTTCACTAAGTGCCTCATACTTAGCGCATGACCATGACCGAGAGAGAGCTGCACCTGTTTAATAAGCTTCTTCCTTTTTTTTGAACCAAGCATTGAACTCACAACCTCATGCTTTGCCAGGCAGGTGCTTATGCCACTGAGCTAAATCCCCAACAATAAGCCTCTTCTTTACACAGGTCAGGTTGCAGACTTCCCTTTCAATGTCTACTTCCCTTGCCAATTTCTATAGCACCACTTTCTAGATGCTTGACTGACAATAGATCCTTCCATCTATTTTCTGCCAAGCTTCATGTAAATAGTTCTGCTGCCTTCACGTTCACAGGGCCTGGAGCTGAGGTTTGGTTGGGTTTTCCTCTCTCTGAGAGCACCGCATTCCCAAGTGAGCACTATGTAACCAGTCTCGTCTGCACAGCAAATCCATCCCCAGGGTGCATGGATGGGAAGTGGGGTGGGGATGATGAGATGCAGATGGGGAGGCTCCCAGCTGCTGACAACTAGCCCCACCAGGATACACAATGCTCGGCTGCCTATCCTGGGTTTTCTGTACTTTGAGCATGTGTAAGTCTCGGTTGTCTGTGCCCTGGTTAGCCTCCTGGCATGGCCCACAGCTCAGGAGTAATGGTGGCCTGTACTCTGCTGGAAACTGGGAATCTGCTCTCTATGCCAGCCACAGGGTGGGGACTTGATGTCCCCAACACCCAGAACAGCTGCCATCAGTGGCATTTGTCACTGACTCTTCTCTTTGAGTATCCCATGGACACTGCGCTAGGGTGCAACAACAGCTTCTGGGGAAGTACGGTGACTGATGGGAGATTCTGCCAAGCAGCTGTTCGGGAGGATTCCTTTTGGGGAAGAGGAACAGAGACTGAAATAATTAACTCTTAAGGCTGAGAATAGTGGGGAGGCTTCGGGTGAGAAAAGCAGCTTGTGCCAGAACCCTGAGACCTGACTGAGGACAAATGGCTGTGTGATGGGGATACTGCAACTGGTGTGTGTGTGTGTGTCCTGGAAGGAAGCTGGACAACGCAAGCTCTGTGCAAAACCTCTTGGTTTCCTGAAGTGCGATGGAGCCTTGAGAGAGATTTGAACAGGAAGAGGGTAGGTACAAGGGGCTCGTTTCACTGTGGGGACCTCCTTGAGGGACCTTTGCATGATACAGCATGGAAGGCAGCTATCTGGACACAGGCAGGGACCGTGGGATAGAAGGAGATGGAGGAAGTCAAGAAAACATTGAACAGTGAAAATCCAGATGGACTGAATACGGGAGGCGGTGAGGAGGACCAGTATCAGGGGACATGTGCAGATCTGAGGCGAGTGTAACTGGCTGGCTGAGAAGAATTACCAAGGTCACCTGAAGAGCTTCCCAGAATACTCTCACATGCGTCTAGCTGCCTTCCAGGAGCTGTGTTCCTGGCCCACGTGGCACTGTCCCCTTAGAGGACAGTAAAACAAACTTACTCTCATCAGGGGGTCCTGAAAACTCATTCCTGCCACCAGGCTGTTGAGGGCATTGATTACCTCTCAGCCCTCAGTTCTTATAAAAAGAAATTTCCTTGTTCTTAGTGTCCAGAAGAGAGGGGTTCCCCACTCATATGTGTTTCCATCTTGAGGGTTCTGTAAATTCTATCATGAGCAGGTTTCTTTCCTTCCTTTGGCTTCTAGGAAACTCACTGTGAAATTAGTGATCTGCCCCCAGTAAGTATAAAGAACTCCATGATACAAAAAATTTTTAAATTAACTTCTCTTTTAACTCTATTTTTTTTGCCAGTACTCACCTTTCCATGTTTTTATATTATGCTATTTTGAATTTTACTTAAGCTTATATTACCTTAATTTCCCTTTGAGAAGGATAAGATACTGAAAATATAAATAAACTGATGAATTTATTTGGATGCTGTCTCCTTGGAGGACTGCTAAGAGTGTGACCTCACTATCTCTCCTTTCTGACAGGATGTGACAGTTGTGACTTTCTCAGTGTTATCACTGGGGGCTCAATTCTGCTTCCCAAGGATTAGGAAGCACTGAGTGAGGCTGACAGGAGATTAGACCAAGTTGGGGTGTCATCTTCCCCTTCATCCTTGGCGACAGTAAAATGACAGTGTTCACAGACCACCTGAACACATCCACTGTCACAACTGATCTCCAGTGTGTTGGAACAACAGGAAATGAGGACCCCAGTGGATGGCTAACTTTCAAGGTCAGCTAACAAGGTCGAGTCTGCTCTTAACTGGTCCAGCCAATTCCTGGGCCCGAGAGATGGCTCAGGGAGGAGGTGACCTTCAGGCTCTAAGGACAACTGCTCACACAGGCATCTAGCTGGTCCTCTCTCAGCATAAGCCTGTCCATCAGAATCCTGGCTGGACTGCCCTGCCAAATGTCCCACCTCCTTTGGCACAGCAGGTGTGTTAGGGGAAACTGTCACCAGGTAGCCAGGTTGCCTCCAGGGTCTGGAAACAAGAAGTGACCCTGGAGCCTGGGGGTGGTAGGGAGGGTGCAGGGGCCCTGGGACTCTCACTTTCTGAGCAGGCGACTCCAGCCCCAAACTGCACTGCACCCTGGGGGCAGAATACGTCCTCGTCGTGGCGGCAGTGTGCCAGGGACAGCTCCGTTCCTGAGCACTTCACCCCACTCATGACCACTTTGTTGCCGTCATTTCCATGCCAATACCAGGTCTCCTGGATGAATGAACAAAAGAAATACCAGCAGGTCACTTCCAATGGCCACTTTTTCATCTTCTGTCAACTTATAGCCTCAAAAATCCCCAAGTATGATCCCATTTTTCAGTTGGAGATGGATAAGGTACAGTCACTTCCTCCCTGCCACACAATCAGGTGGTGACAGAATGAGTGACAACCTAGGTCTCCTGCCTGGTGACTGGTTTCTACCACTGTGCACACTGTGACAGCACAGCAGAGCCTGCAGTCAAACAGGTGCTTGGGGTGCAGCGTGGCAGGCCAGGGCAGACATTGCTAATCAATCAGAGCCTGGAAGCCTCAGCACAGTGCTCCAGAAAGACCTTATCAGTTGATCAGAACTTGATCAACTGATTGGAGAGAAGACAATATTTTCATGTCAGTCATTAGTTGATACTTCAAGTCCGACTTCTGAACTTAATTCTAGGAAAAGCCATTAATAGAGCAGTCCTGCACAGAGGCTGAGGAGACCCTAAATTTGTGATGCTGAGAATCATTTGGCCCCTTTGTTCTATGGGGCTTCAAAAAGCTGTTAGGATAAAATCTCTCACTTTCAGAGATGTTTCCAGTAGAGAGAAGTGAGAAACAGAAAGAGAATCTGGTACAGAAGTAGGATGAAAACACGTGACTAAGCCACTGTACCCAGCTATCTGGTCAAACACTGTTGCAGATGTTTCTGTTAAGTAGTTTTTAGGTAAGCTTACTATTTAAAGCAGCTGATTTGAGTAACGCCAATTACCCTCCATAAGGAGGATGGGCCTCATCCAAGTGGTGACAGACCTTCAGAGAAAAAAGAATGAGGTTCTTCCAGGAACAGGGAATTTTGCCTCCACAATGCTTTTGGGCTGGAAGAACATCAACTTCTCTCTGGGTGTGCAGCCTGTCAGCCTGCCCTGCAGAATCTGGATTTGCCAGCTTCCAAAATCACACGAGCCAATTCCTCAAATCTCTCTTTCTCTCTCCAGGTGGATGACAGATAGCAGACAGACAGTCTTCTGTATCCATGGGTTCTGCATACATAGATTCAACCAACTGCAGATTGAAAATAGTTCTTTTTAAAGCTGTCCTTGTCCTAATTATATGCAAATATTTTCCTTGTCACTATTCCCAATGCAATACAATATAACTGTATGCATAGCATTTCCATTGCATTATGTATTACTGGTAACTTAATTATGCATTACTAGTAACCTAGAGATGATTAAAGTATATGGGGGGATTGTACAGGTTACATGCAAATACCATACCATTTTAAATATAGGCCTAGAGATCCTTAGAGTCTGGTGTCCAGGGGGTTCCTGGGAGGAGTCCCCCACAGACACGGGGGACCAGTGTACAATCACACATCCTACTGAATCTGTTTCCTGACAGCACCTGCCCAGGATCATCCTAGTTTTCCGGATGGGGACACTGACTGGGGTCCTGCACAGAGCTTATAGTCAGTGGCAGATTTGGGACTGACATCATACCAGCCCTATTTCATAGCCCGGCTGAGGCCCAGGTGTCTTAGAGATGAAGTGACTGAGAACAAAAGCAGCTGGACGGCGGCTCTGCTTTTCCATTCTCCCTGGAAAATCAGAGCAGGCCTCAGCCTGTCACAAACAGCATCAGCAGAAACATCATGTTGCCCCAGGAAACTGAGCTCCCAGAGTGTGGCGGCCTCCTGGTCAGAGACCTGTTCCTCCTGGATGCTGGGCCGAGGAGTCATAGAGCAGGGGACCTGAAGCAGCCCCTGTACCTCCCTTTGGGGCAATTGGGCCTCTCCCACCTGCCCCAGCCAGGAATATTTTCCTCTTTTCTGAAAACCCCTTTCTTAGGCCCCAAGATGGGCTGCTTGGGACAGAGCTGAGGGCAGGTAACCGTGCAGGATGGGTCTCCAAGCATTGTCCTGCCTACTGCAAGTTTAGCACAGGACCCCAAACACTTGGATCCTTTGGTCCAAGTCTTAGGGAGTTTGTTTGAGGCTTGGAGGTGGCAGCTTTGCACCTGACTGCCATGCAGCCAGCCTGGTGGGAACAGTCAGGAATGGACTCTGTTGTCTGGCCTTGTGCCGCTTTATGAAGGGCTGGGAAGGGGTGAAGACCAAAACTCAGGGGTTTTCTGCTGAGTTGTCCTCTGGGGCACGTGACTAGGGCTCTGGACTCAGCTTGGGGATTTGCTGGTGTGGAGATGGGAGAAGACCTGAGGCATGGCTACCCACTGGGAAACATAGCAGTCAAGGGCTTCTAAGTCAGTGAGCGAAAGCATTAGGGGTACTGGGCCTTGGTTGGGCAGTTACCACTGCCCTGAAGGACTGAGCTGCTTCCCCTTGCAAAAATCCCACCACGGCTTGTGGGGCTCAGCTTCCCCTGGGAGGAATCTCAGTATGCAGACAGCATGCAGAACCCCAGCCTGCAGACACAAGTCCAGCCCCTCTGCTCTGCAGCCTGGAAACAGAGGCCAGAGGAAGCAGGCAAAGCCTGGGCCCCAAGGCTGCGGGGCAGAGCTGTGCCCACAACAAAGTCCCTTGCCTCTGGGTGCAGGGGTGTGGATCTGCACCTTCCTTGTGGGCTTCTAGAATGGGGGTCCTAGGTAACAGCGGGGAAGGTGGGCCAGACACAGGGTGGCAACCCCAAAGCCCAGCTTCTCACCTGGAAAGCATTGCTGGCGAACCCTAGGCCCAGCTGCCGGCAGACCACCATGGCTTCCACGATGCCCCAGTTCTGGCCGCACACAGTGCCCCACACCAGGGACCCGTTCCTCTCTGTCAGCACCTCTACCCGGCCCTCGTAGGGATTTCGGCCCCCACTCAGGCGCACCTGGGGACACGAAGGAAGACAGTGTGACCAGGAGCATAGAGTGGAGCTTCTCCACCAAACTGCATCGGACCCAACTTCCCCAAGTTGATTCCGTTTCTTTTCTTTTCTTTCTTTTTTTTTTGGTGGGGGGACTGGGATCAAACTCATGACCTCAAGCTTGCCAGGCAGGTGCTTATGCCGCTGAGCTAAATCCCCAGCCTCTGGAGTTTCTAATAAGATGTCTTTTTTTTTGAGACAGGGTCTCGCTATGCAGTTCAGGCTGGCCTTGAGCTCACTTTGTAGCCCAGGCTGGTCTTGAACTCGCAACGATCCTCCCACCTAAGCCTCCCAAGAGCTGGGATTACAGGCATGAGCCACGACGCCCAGCTCATAAAATGTCTTTTAACTACCTTGCTACACCACTTCCAGATCACTGTCCATCAGTGCCCTCTTCAAGGATGCTGTGATAGAAGGGGAACAGCTCTGAGCCAGAGCTGGTGGCCAGGCTGAGCTCCTACCAGGAGCGCTTCTGACCATGTGCCCTAGACGAGCCATTGTGAATACTCACTGTCCACTGGGGTCCTGGGGTCTAGGCTGACCCCTGGGACTGAGAGCATTCAGGAAAGCACCTGGTTTTGCCCTTCATGAAAGCCATCTCTGATCACCTCTTGGCAGGTGCTGTCAGCCAGGCCCTAGCCTGCACCTCGCCCCACTCCCATCACCCTGAGCCTCCCGAACTCTGGCTTCATCCTGATTCCATGTCCAGGACAGAGAGACACTACGGGAATGGTGGCCCAAATTGCAGGCCTTGGGATAATCTACAAATCCAAGGCCAGACCTTGGGAGCCAGAACCAGGGCTAGGCTTCCTCTGGGCCTGGTCTCCAGATCCACTCCATGGGGAGCACTGAAGGCCTTTTGCAAGGACGCATGTCACCAGGGTGCAAGGCAGGGCCCCGACCCTCCCAGGAGGCCCAGTCAGTCTCATGTTGAATGGTAGCACACGGGGACGACACAGAGCAGAATGACTTCCCCTAGTCTAAGAGTGTGTGTCAATTCCCTCCTGCTTTATTGATGGTTACATAAACCAGGATAAGCACGATGGAAATCAGTATGGAGATTCCTCACGAAACTACAAATAGAAATTCCATTCAACTCAGCTATTCCCTATTAGAAGAGCTGAAGTTGTATTACAGTGATCTGGGCATCCTCATGTTTATAGCAGCACAGCTCACAACACCTAAACCATGGAAGTGGCCTATGTGTCCATCAACAGATGGACGGATGAAGACAGAGTGGTATTTACATACAAGGAAGCTCCGCTCTGCTATGAAGTAGGATAAATGTGAGCCACTTGCGAAAAATGGATGCATCTTGAATTCACAATGTTAAGTAAAATAAGTCAGACACACAAGCTGGGGACACAAGCTCTCTTACATGAGAAATTCAGGGTGCAAATAAATTAAAAAGCAGAGTAAAAGAAAGATAAGAGGAAACAGGGAGATAGATCTTTTGCAAACGGGAAGGGGACCATGAGAAGAAGGGTGGGAGGAAGGGAAGGAGACGGGATATAGTAAAATGGGCTATGTCGAGGTCCTCGCTCGTTACAATGAATGTAATTATGTACTGCAAACCAATAAGGAAAACATAATAAATTCCCTGCAGACTTTACCCAGCCTTGCTGACTCCATGCCTTTGCTTCAGAGAAGGTGGCTTTCCTTTGTCACTTTGAAGTCAAGCCCAGTGAAGATAGAGAGTTCTCGTGGTGGGCTTGTGAGGAGGTGGCTGTCACTGGGTTGTCACTGGGAGGTGTCTGGGGCCCTCTTGATTGGTCTACTGCTGCCCAGGTGGCTGGCTGCTAAGCTGGTTGGTGGTGTGTGGTGTCTTTCTCTAGCGTTCTAAAAGCCTCAGGGCAATGGCACGCTGACTCTGGGTCAAGGGAAGCATGGCTACCAATGGCACAGCCCAGGGCCCTGAGATGCTGTCATGTCCCCCAAGGCTGCCCGGCCCTGCAGCAGCATCCATGATAGGGAGCACTGGAGAGAATGTGGGCGGTTTACACATGAGAGGGGGGCTCTTCCTTTTCTTTAGAAGCCTGGAACACATGGCAGCAGCTGACCATGAGGCTGACTTGGCCCAGAAAACAGCTTCCTCATCCCAGGGCTGCACCCAGGTGCCACCCTGGAGCCAGTCAGGAGTTTAAGGTTGGCACCTTGCCCACCATCACCCCAGAAGGCCAGGAAGGTCAAGCTGTGCCCAATGTGGTGACACACACACCTGCAATTCCAGCACCCTAGAAGGCTGAGGCAGGAGGGTTAAGTTTGAGCTCAGCCTGGACGATGCACAACCCTGGACCAAATTCAAGGCATAGTCAAGAGCATTACATAGAATATTCTGGACATTTTCTCAGGGCTGAATGAAACTCATGCATGGCAAGAAAGGAATTCATCTTGTTCATCATCTTGCAGGCAAGGTTATCTAGGGCAGGAGATTTAGTGCAGGAGCTAGAGGCCCTGTTTTAAGAAGGGAGGAGGAAGTACTTGGGGAGGTTGAGGCAGGAAGATTGCAAATTTGAGTCCAGCCTGGGCAACTTAGGGACTTAGCAAGACCCTGTCTCAAAATAAAAAAAAATTAAAAGGGGCTTCGGATGTAGCTCAGCCAAAGCCCTGGGTCCCAATTTAAACAAAAAAGATCTGTCTCCCTGTTTCCTCTCGTCTTTCTTTTACTTTGCTTTTTAATTTATTTGCACCCTGAATTTCTCATGTAAGAGAGCGTTTGTCCCCAGCTTGTGTGTCTGACTTATTTTACTTAACATTATGGATTCAAGGTACACTCATTTTTCTGCAAGTGGCTCACATTTATCCTACTTCGTAGCAGGTAGAGCTTCCTTGTATCTACATCTGTCTGGGTGGCGCCTCTGAATCCCTGGAAAAGGCCCATCTCACAGATGTCACAGGTGTGGGAGGCCTTGAGTCCCTACAGAAAGGACTGAGATGCCATCACACTGTGTTCAGTCTCTGGGCAGGGTGTGTCCCACAGTGGCTGCCAGGCATCTGCTGCTAAGGAGGGACAGCTTACACATGTCCAGCTGCACGCTTACAAATGCCAGATGATGATGACATGAATAGTGACAGGGTGGAGCCCGCGCCCCACATCTCAGAGCAACCTCACATACCCAGGAGAACCCCTGAGACTGAAGCCACCTGGTCAGTGCTTCCTGGGGCCTCAGGGACTCTGACCCACTGGTCGACCAGGCCCTCACCTTTTTCTGGAAGCCCATGTGGGGGATGTTGCAGCGCACGCCCGCATCCTCTTCGTGGTTACAGCCCTGGGATTCAGTGTTGAGCTTGCACTCAATGATGGACTTCTCGGTCCCCGTGCACCGGACCTCATTGAGGTGGATAGGTCCGATCCCTGGCGAGGGAAAAGAAATGCATGCTGGGAGAGCTGCTGAGGGAAACTCTCCGAAATGTCAAGACACTCTCGGACCTGCAAACCTGCCTCTCCCATCCTCCAGACGCCCAGCCGCCCCTGTGGAGTCAGCTCAGTGACCAGGGCTCTCGTTCCTGGAGACAGCACTGCTAACTGTGTTGGGATCCACCCCTGCCAGAGTGGATAAAGCCTAGTCTGGCATGTCGGAGCTCCGGCTAAGTGCTTGCTCCTTGGTCCTACTGATTCCACCTGAGCGCAGCCAAGCATTAGCCCACTCATTCTTCCTTCCGTGTACATCCTTGGGACACAATGTGCCAGGCCCCTCCCTCACACACTGCTCAGTCTTGAAGGGGGAGGATGCACCAGTAGATAGTCGCAGTGGGAAGTCCTGAAGCACACTCAGGGCAGTAGCTGGTGAGCCAACATCAGTGCCAGTGAGCTGCAGCCAGACAGAGCTTAGGCACCATCCACCCAGCCACTTGGCTCCACAGTAACCAAGCCAAGGCTGGGAGGTTGCTTGAGGTCACTAATGAAGTAGGTGCTGGGCCATGATGAGGACACACATTGCTTAACTCTGCTGCTGCCCCATCCCTACTCTGGGTGTGGGTGTGGCTGCTCGGTCTGCTACTGCAAGCCAGGCTGGAGGAACTGATCCTGTCGGCCCTGTGACACTGAATGTGGTACTTCTGCTCTGGGAAGACTGGGGCTGCCTACCCAGTGTGGCAAGAGGTGACGAGCCATCCAGTGGCCCTTTTAAGCCAGCATCAGGGCTGTCCAAGTGGTCCAAAGCTTCTTTTTCCTAGGGTTCTTTAGGCCTGCAGGGAAATAACTAGGCCACAAGGCACCCACCATGATAAACAGATTGATTCACATCACTAAGTGCTGGTTTATTCCTTTGAATGAGTGGACCTGGTCTTGTAGCATTTGGGGGAGCACAAACCCATTGGCAAGTCAACCAGTGAAGTGGGTTTTGCAGGAGGAGGAGGATGATTCTGTGTCATGTGACAAAAGGGAGCCTGTGAGGTGGCACAATGTGTTGCTAACATCTGCCCCTAACCCAGTTTTCAGTGGACCCCCAGGATGTGGTAGAGAGCAGAGGCTGAGATGGCACCCAGATGTTAAGGGGACTGACAAAGGAGAACCAGATGTGGTTCTCGATCTTTTTTTGGCACTGGAAAAGCCTGAGCCAGAGACTCCTACCTGATGGGCTGCAGGAGCTGAGGTTTTCTGGCAACGCTGTCTACAATCCCAGGACAGTCACCCCAGTTCACCAAGCCTCCCTCCTGTCTCACGGGACCACTGAAGAGATGCTGCGTTGCAGACTGGGGCATGGCACTCTGGGGAAAGGACTGAGAAAACGGGCAGATGGACTGCACTGCTGCCAGTGCGGCAGGCCAAGGCCAGGACTCTGGAGTCTCAGCCGAGCAAAGCACAGCAGTGTCAGGCAGGCTCCAGGCGAGTGGGACCGTTATGTTCGCCAGCTTGTCAGCTACGACCTCACTACATTCCTTTCCCATGGGCTGACGGTTCCGCACTTGACATCATGGGGCATCTTCTCCCCACAGCCCCCCTTGCCCACAGCCTGGGCCCCTTCCTCCCTGCTGTTGCTGCAGGACAGGTTCTGGGAAATGACACTGACTCTCCTGGCTCAGGCGAGCTCTCTAGGGGACAGCTGGGCACTCACGGGTGGCAGTGGGTCTTTGTAAAGGTTCCCTCTGAAGAACCAGGGCTGGCAATGATGGGCAGTCTTGGGTTCACTGAAGACAGAAGCAGTCGATTTCGTGTCACCTCAAGGTGAGAGCAGTGCTGTCCCTAGAGCGATCCCTCTACTTTTGTTCTTTGCTCACATGGAAGAGTTGGTTCAGGACACTTAATAAAAACCAGTCTCTTTCTCATTAGAGGGGGTTTGCTATTCCTTCTCTCTGCTGTCAGGGTGACCAGGATGAAAAAGAAAGGTGACACCTGGTTCTTTTGTGCCAGTGTGGCCTATAGCCGGATGGCTTCTGAGGTCCTCTCCGGGATGACGGGCCTCACAATCTCAGCTTCATTGGTCGGGAAGCCAAGAGCACAGGGTCAGGAGTCGGGAGAGCCAGGTAGGAGCATTCACCGCCTGCTAGTTTGTTCTTGGACTCTGCTCATTTTACTCCCTTCTCTGGGCCTCAACTTCCAAATCTATAAAATGAGGACTCGGCATCCTCTTGGCTCCTTCCATCCCTGATTATCTGGGGGAAGCCGGGATTCCCTAAAGGAGTGGCAAGCTGCCACAGGGAGGAGGAAGCACAAGAGCCACACGAGGTCACAGCCACCAGCCACAGAGGCCACACTGGTCAGGAAGAGAGACCTCCCCAGCAGCAGCCCTGCCCCTTACCTTGCCCCAGCCGAGAGCCGGCGACGGCCTCCTTGGCAGTTCCGAAGCCCAGCTCTCTGCAGACCACGCTGGCCGACACCAGGTCCCAATTGTCGTCACACACTGTCCCCCATTCTCCATTCTTGAGCACCTCCACGCGGCCCTCCCCGACCTGGGCTCCGCCTCTGAGCCGCACCAGGGGTTGCTGGAGAGACACACAGTCCTGCTAAATGCAGATGCCCACGTGTGTTCTGTTTGTATGTTCTATGCCTGTGTGCGCATGTGTGCATGTGTATGTGTAAATGCTCACCGGCATGCACAGGTACACGTAAGCACATGTGCTGAGAGGCTGAGGAGCCTGAGCTGCTGCAGATGACTGCACAGCTGTTCCGGATCAGGGTAGGACAAGGACTACCCTGGCCTATGCTATCCTCAGCCCCTGACCCCTCAGTCTACCACAGATGACCCGGATGCAGCAGGCTTGGGTAGAGGTGGAGCATTTCAAGCATCCATGTCCACCAGCCACCTTGAGGGGGGTCCAGGCATCACGAAAAGCTGTCTCCCCATCTACTGAGCACCCTTCTCTCCTCTGTGACAGCACTGCAGGGATGGCCTGGGAGGGTGCGATGCTGAAATAGCACCCAGATTCATAGAACCCCGGCCTACTCTCACGCTGGCACAAAAGACAGAGAGAGAGGGGCAGGAGGGATGTAGAACACTCCACTCCATGGCTTCAGGAACGTTTACTCTCCCTTTATAAAACAAAACAGTGAGTAAAACTGCTGGCTCCAGCCCATTTTCTGCAGAACCATGACCTCCTGCTTCCCTCCCCTCTCTTCCCAAGAAGTTCAGCGGGACTCGGGGGCCCTTCCCGGAGAGCACGTGACCCTAAGCCCAGCTCCAGAAGGCAAAGTGTCGAATAACCTCCTCCAGCCCAGCAGTGGCCAGGCAGAGAGTCAGCTGGCTCCGGAGGGAAACCAAGGAAAGTGTGACGTAAGCCTCCTGCGGTCCTTTCATTGGTTTGAGGTGAACTTGATCTCTTTGCTGTAAACCACACGGCAGAGGAATTCCAAAACAGTAGGCTCTGCTCCTTTGGCTGACACACGAGGAGAACTTAGAGGCCCAGCTTAGGGCCGAGGGGAAGATGTGGGCATCAGACCATGTGTCGCGCAAATGAGGGCAGGGGCGGCATGGGGCTGCTGCTCAGAGGGCTGGAAAACAGCGCTGTGTCTGGGCTGCAGGCACAGCTGACAGTGTGGTCACATCCGTGCACTTCTGAGGCCTCAGGGGCCACCAAGGAGGTAGGGCCACTGCCTCCTAGCCTTGCCAGGAAGCTACACAGACCAGCCCCCACATGCAGCCACGGGCTGTGCTTCCATGTAAGGCGTTGGTCCCAAACCCCCCCAGCCTGGGAGAGGCACCCTGTGTGGTTTATCGCTCTTGCCTTAATTTCTTTCCCCTTGAAAAGAGCTGTTCCACCCTTTCCAAGAGCAGGCCTGTAGCTGCCGACTGGGGGGATGGATGGGACAGGAAGCAGAAAGGGTGCGAGGGAACAGGGGAAGAGGAGGTGCTTTCCCACCCATGACCTGCCCCCAGCAGCACAAACTCCCCCCAGGCCCTGCTCCCACTTACTGCCGGCTGGCCCACAGCTAACCTGGAACTCACCAGGCCCAGAGGTGAGGGTGGGGTATGAGGTGTGGCTACTGGGGACAACAAACTACCCAGTTTATCTGGCCTATTGAGTCACCAATCCTCTCCTCCTATCCCTTTCTTCCTATGTCCCTTACCCACTCTGACACACAACCCCCACCCCCTTATCAGCTGTTCCCAGAACAGACAAATCACAGACCATTTGGTAGATTTATGAATGAAGAACAGGGAGAAAATAAGCAAGAGGCCCTTTGGGATGCTGGAGGAAGACAGTAGAGGTCCCTTCTGTCCTACAGAAGAAGGGTCAGTCTGTGGGTTGGGTAACTCACTTATTCCGCGAAATCTGTCAGCAGAGATGGAGGTGGCAATTTGTATGGGAAGATGCGTGTTCACATCTTGGATCTCTCCTCCCCACCTCTCCTAGGTCTGTCTCTGCCTCTCTCACTCTCACACGCCCCAATCAAGGTGCTGGGTTCAGGTAAACATAATGTGACTGATAAGGAAGGTTAGTGATAGGTTTCCCATTTTGGTAAAAGCTTTCTCCAACTGCTGTCCTTCCTTGGTACAAAGGAAGCCAAAACCCACCTGAAAACACTGCAGCTGGTGGCGCGTGCTGTGGGGAGCTGTACCATGTCCCCAGCATCCCTGACTGCCCTCTTTCTTCTAGAACTGTGTAGGTCTCTAACCACCCTGAGCCATCTGCTCATGCACAGGAAGCCAGTGGTGGCCAACAACAAAGAGTCCCTTGGCCCAGGGATTTGTCCTTCTGGAGGGACTCTGGTGTCCTCTCTCCTTCGGTCCCTCCTGCACCTGCCACCCCTCCCCCCAACCAGGTGCCAGTAGCCACACCTCGTACCCCACCCTCACCTCTGGTTTGTAGGCTTTCCGGAATCTTGAGGGCCCATCGGAGCTGAAGACCTGGCCAGGCACACAGCTGACCACCACCGGTAGCCCATTCTCACAGGTGACATTCTTTACAGGGTCCTGTGACACCTGGGGACCCAGATTGCAGCTGGAGATGTGGGCCTCCGTGCCAGTGCAGTTCATGGAGTATGGCCAGTAGCGCTTCTTCCTCCGTGTGGCCAGGATTCTGCAGAGGGCATAAGGAGGCAGGTGACTGGGGCACCCTGGTGCCTACCAGATCCCTTCTGAAGCCAGACAGAATAAAGTGGGTGTTGTATGCTCTAGAAACTCAGCCCTGCTGCCCAGGCAGGGTCCCTGCCCTAGGCATGCTGCCACCACCCCAGAACACTGATTCATGCTGGGTACTGGGTGTCGAGACCCCTGGGGTACACATGGCCTTCTGCTCTCATGTGATGAAATAAGAACAAAACCTGTGAACACAAAATACAAAAGAAATATCTAAAACAGGTGAGATCCCTGGCTCCAGAAATGCTCCCTGACAGGCTGGCCACACTAACTCTTCAATTATTTCACCACAAGCTGTTGTTATTCCCCAGTGTAATGGTTGATACACTGTGTCTACTTGAAAAGTTTAGAAGTTTAAGCACTCAGCAGGGTGCCAGAGGCCTCACTTTGTAAACATCTGAAGCCTGTGCAAGAGGAGGGCAAGGAGATGGTGTGAGTGCTACAGTCGCCCTACAGGGTGGTATCCTGCATCCACTATAAGGGAGGGAAAGAGGCTTGTTTTCCCTCCTTTTGCTCTTGCTGCTTTTGCTGTCTTCTGCAGCCTTGAAGCGTGTCCCACACCAGGCCAACTTGCCTTGCAGCCAGCTGATTACAGGCTAAAACTTCCACAAACTGTAAGCTAAATAAATCTTTCCATCCTTAATTTTGGCTATTATTACTTTTTTAGAGAAAAAAAGGAAAACAGATAAAAGGGTAGAAATAATATAGAATTTTTAAAAAATAACAGTAAGAATCACTAGTTGATAAGTTCCATCCTTAATTTTGGATCTTGGGTATTTTGTCCCAGCAATGAGAGAAAAGTAACCAAGACACCCAGCTTTATTATTGTGAACCAATGAATTGTACAAGTTGACCTAACTCTCTCCCGCTGATAGACAAAATTAAACATGTAAATTCAGTGAGAATAAGCTTGCAGAATACAATCTACTGAATCAAATAAGTTGTTCTGCATTGGAGACTATAATAGTAATTTAATTCTACAGCTGATTGCATCAAACCTTCACCCATCAAAATCAGTGAGTTGAGGTCTTAATCTCCTGTCTTAGGGAAACTCTTAGCCTCTATTTCCTACATACAAATTGTTCCTTATTATGATTTTTTTTTGAAGGCAGGATACAGATTAAGGTATGGTAAATTTTCTTTTTTCCAACCAATCAATAATGCATTGGTTAACAGAAAGGTTACAATGACTCAATATCCTCGTGTTCAAAAAAGATGTAGTATAAATATGTATGTCCTAAGAATGTCCTGTGTATTAACCTGTGTTCTACGGCTGTAACAGAATATCACAGGTAAGATCATTTATACAACAGAATTCATTTTGCTAATGGTTTGGGGGCTGGTAAGTCCAAAAGTGTGGATCTAGCCTCTGGGGAGGCCTTGTGTCATCCCTCAGCAGGACAGACAAGCACACACAGAGAGAAAATGAGTGCCATTAACCCGCTCAGGACAGAGCCTCATGGCCTAATCAACTCTTTAAGGACCCAGTTGTGAACGCTGTTACAAAGATCTGGAAACAGCACTGTGAAAGTTAAGTAAGCCACCACCTCCAAAGCGCTTAAAACAATGTTCAGAAATAGGATGTTTGTGAAAAAATAATAAAAACTGGTTAAAGCAAAAAAAGAAAAGTAATGAGAGAAGAAGGTGGTAGTATGTGGCTGGAGTGAGGAAGATAACCTCACGCAAGACTGGGATTTGCACTGGGCTTTGATGATAGCTTTGAAGCAAAGGAAGTGGAGACCCAGGCCTTTGAATGTTGTCCAGCTCCCCAGGCCCATGCACTTGTCCCTGTACTTGCCAGCCGCCTGGTATGGGTGACTCTCTGGACAGGCTGACCCTGGATGGGCCAGGGATCAGGTCCCATCCCTGGAAATAGCTGCTTTGTGAATGAGTTGCAAATCTAGAGGAAGGGCAAATCCTCCAGATGCCATCACTGTCTCTCCTTAACCCAAATTTGAGACTTGTGACGATTCTAGTCTGTCTGTGGGTACGACAACATGAATCAACAAAATAAAGGTTATCATGGAAAATTCAGGACGTGTGCTCACTACAGTGACATCATAGAGCAGAGACTCCTCAGGGGACTCTTAATGATCCCAACAACCACTGCCCGCCCCTCCCACTTCCTGCAAGGCCCGTGTGCCAGGAAACACACAGCCTGTTCCCCCAACCCCCACCTCAGCCGGTGTGGAAGACACACTCAGAAAACACCAACTGCATGACACTGGTCAGAAGTGCTGGCCGGTCTTGGCTCAGGAAATTCCTTTGCTTCCAGATGTCAGGGAACACTACCCTCTCTAGGAACAGATGTACCCGAGCACCTCAGAGAGATCTGACAAGCAGAGCTGCCCCAGACCCTCTCCTGCCTTTCCCAGGCAGCTCTTTCCATCTTACATCAACTCTGAGGAATGTACCGCCCACCTGACTATCCGCAGGCCTCCATCATCCCCCAGACTGGTGTGATTCACAGCCCCAGGGCTGCCAAGAGGGGTCTGGGGAGATTGCAGTGTGACTGGAGCTGGGAGCAGCCTCTGGCCATGCCCCTGAGCCCACTTGGGAAAGAGGTCTCTGGGCCTGTGGCTGGGTGGTAGCCGAAACATCAAGCTGGACCATTTCGATAAAACATGGAAAGTTCTAGTGGTTTTCCCTGGCCAAGGGGGAAGCCAGACTTTATGGGATTCGGCCAGCTGCTGAGTATGTCTATTCCAATGATACTTTCAGAACTGGGGAAATCATCACAGGATAGGGTTAGGGACCCACTGCACCCTTGATGAGGCAGCCTTGAGCTAGAGCTCCAAAAGCCAGGCTGCTTTGGCTCTCCTGGAGTAAGGAAGTGTCAGTTCAGAACCTGTGTCCAGTAATCTCTAAAAAGTCTGATTACTTCCTTCTGTCCAGGGCACGGTCATCCTGGTAAAGGGCCCCACTGGGAAAGGCTGGGAGAAATAGCAATGCCATGCATTTTTGGCAGAGCACTGAGGTCCTCCCTCAAGGACACCCACCTTCCTTTCATGCTAGGGTCCTGGGTCTGCAAACTGGCAATGCCTGGGCATAGAGTGAGGGCCATAACTGCTCGGTTGCCCGGACCTTGTCTGCATGTGCAGATCAAGGGAGATGCAGTAGGCTTCCTAGCCCCAGGTTTCAGGAGTCAGAGTACTCTCGTGGCTGCTGGACTCTGCTGTCCCTGACAGGATACCTCTTGCCTTGATGACTGATTGGGACCACTTGGCCTCTCCAGCCCTGGATCAGTCCCTTTGCGTTTAAGTTTCTGTTTAGTGGCTGCCTTGCCCACCGTGAGCCCTGACCTCCCGGGAAGAGGCAATGACACAGTGAAGGACGCTGGGGACTCTTCATAAGCACCACAGTGACAGGTGTGCCTCCCAGACCCCCCATGTGGCTGAGTGGGTCTTGAACGCCCATCCACTCTAATGGTTTCCTCTGTATCTCTTCCTCTGCATTAGATCAAGGCCAAGAATTTACAGCTCTCTCTGGGCAGCAGCCTAAGGGCCCAGCTTTCTGCTCAACCATGCGCTAAACCGTCAGCTCCTTTGCTAACTCCTGAGCTGTGATGTCACACGCAGACATGCTACTCAGTGAGCCACACCCATAAACCAGAATCAACATTCAGGTCCTGCTCTGAGAAGAAAATGATGATGAGGACTACAAAGTGCTGCTGGCCCTGGAGACCAGGTCCTGAATATGAGCTTTGTTGGCTCCAGGGCACGGTGTGTGGCTCCCCAGTCTGGCACAGAAGCCAGGAAAGGGAGGAACAACCCTTGGTGAGGGTGCTGGCCCCACTGTCAGGGGCTGTGGGTGAAAATGGAGTGCTCTAGATACATGCAGGTGTTGGGGGGAAGTAAGGCTCTGAGGCCAAGTGGAAACTGGGGCCTAAGAGTAGCTACCAGGCTGCCAGGTAGTCAGAGAGCCTGCTCCAGCACATGCGGGGAGACCCCAAGATGGAGAGCCCCAGGGCTATCAAGTCTGCCAGGGGTCTGGAGGGAAGGAAGGAGGTTACTACAGACACAGGCTGATAACTGCTCCATAATAACATCCTCCAGCCACAGCCAGTTCTCCAGCAGCAGCAGCCACAGGCTATGGGAAGAGTAACAAGGAGCAGGGAAAAATTGTGGGAAGGGCAGTCCTCAGCTTGTCAAGGCTTCTGTGGCCTCAGCTTCTCATCTACCTCCAGGCCAGCTTTGTCCCAGCCCTGCTGAGCTATCTGCACTCCCAGGGAGGACCAGAGTCATCCTAGATCAGCCCCAGACTGTCTTGGGGCTCTGTAGAACAGGCAGGGAGTGGGCCCTTGCCCCTCAGGCCTCCATCTCTGCAAACTGAGCCACAGGCTGGAGATCTCTAAGGCCTCAGCACACCCTAGAGTTCTGGCCTTTGGCAACAGCTCCTCCAGTCTATGTCAACTCAGCCATGCAGCCAGCCCCTGTGGTACCACTGAGGATCAGAAGCCTCCCTTTCTTGCTGGGGCAGATGTCAATTCAGAGACTGACAAAAATGACAGGGACAAGCCTGGGTTTTGTATTAGGAGGAGCTGGTTTCCAGAGAGTTGTATCACTCGTCTCCCATCACAGTGGGGACACTACCCATCACTGCCACCTTGCACACCTCCTGCCCTTCAAGGCCTTTGCCTCCTACAAAGGCAAAACCACAGACAGGAAAGTGGGATGAGCAGGGACGGGTTCAACCCAGCCCTGAGAGGATTCCCTGGGGTGCAGCTGTTCAAACTGGCAGGAGAGGGACTCTGGTAGGCTCTGGCTTTCAAACTTTGAAAAAGCCACACCCACTCTTCGGCTCTGACCCTACAGGCAGCCTGGGGAACCTGGGGGGCCCTGCCCAGAGCCTGTTAGGGAAGGAGTTTGCTTTTCTTGACTCCCATGGGTGGGACAATCTGAGGCCGAGTTGCTGGGGCAGACACTGGCAGAATGGTGAGGACTGCCAGGCCACTGAAGTCTGGGTCCTGTCTGGTGGCTCAGGTTCAACATGGTACTTGCCCAGGGTGCTACCAGCAGTCATTCATCCTGTGTGAGGCCTGAATGTCCACCTACTGATTCTCCATCTCATCTCCAGACCTCTAGTTCCTTTTGGTGTTGCTAGGATTAAGTGACAAAGACTGCCCAGCACATGATAAACACTCAGCAGAAGCTGGCGCCGATGTAATTCCATAGAGGAGACAGGAAAACTCTACCACCAACTAGCTTTCCATAGCCTGGGCTCTGCAATGCAGATTCAGCCAGCATCAGATGGAGCATATTTAGGGGAAAGCAAATCTGTACTGAACAGGTACACTGTTCACGTCAGCATCCCCCAAACAATCCAAGTGTGGCAGCTACTTACATAGCACCACGTTGTATTGGGTGTGGCACCTGATGTTGAGAGGATTTAAGTATGGATACCCCCAAGGTCAAGAGAGGAAGTGCTGCCACTACCTCCTCACCCCTGGGAAGTATTAGCCTTGAACACCAGAACAGCATGGTCAGATTTCAAGGAAAGGAACTGAATTGATCAGTTTCTCAGTTACCTAGCAATTGCTGCAACTCTAGATTGCTCAGAATAATCACTGCTGAGAGTAAGTAAACATTTTTTCTGAAGTCAGCGCTGGCCTGCCCTACCCAGTCCTTGATTCACCCTTGTTTGGCCCATGTGGTCCTCAAGCTGACCGTCATCAGCACTGAGACGTGGGGTCTGCCTGCTGGAGCACCTTGCACCCAACTGAGCTCCAAATTTCCCTTGATTTACATAGGACCAGGTATCCAGGGCCTTCTCCCACGAGACAGTGCATTCCTTGTTCTTGCTGGAGGGACACCAGACCACGGAAACTCTGCCAGTATAAGGGGGCCATGAGCCCAGGGAGCCCCTGCTCGGTGCAGCCCTCTTACTTGTAAGCCTTGGTGTTGTATGCCTTCTCCCCAGGGAAGCCAAACATGCCGCAGACCACGTGGGCATTCTTAGCTGTCCAGTGCTTGTCACAGATCTGCTTCCAGGACTTGCCCACCTTTACCTCCACGTAGCCCTCTGTCACTGGGGTGCGATGGCGGAAGGCGGAGAGGACAGGGCGGATCCTGATGTCCTCCACCTGGATATTCAGGTTCTGGGAAGAAGGAGCCAAGAAGAAGAAGGGTTATAGCTCTGGTCTGGCCTTCAAGGTGGGGGTATCAGCCTGGTGCTGGCCGGCCTCTGCCACAGGCTGTGTGGGATGCTATGGGTACTCATAGTGAGCACACAAGCAGCACACTCATGCTATGTGTGGGAAGTAGTGGGGCTGCACGGAACCAGGTGGGAGTGGGGGTGACCTGAAACAATCTAAAAGCCTTGGGGGACCATGGAAGGTCCCCGACACGCTGCCAAGGAAACCACAGAGCTGTGAGCAACAGCCTTTTCCATCATAGGCCTCAAAAATCAGAGCATGAGAGCAGGAGTTGTTTTTGAATTTTCAGTGTGAAATTATTTGGATTCTGTGTTTGAGTCCAGTGTGTGCCTGTGTGCCTGTGAGCACGTTCTCTCTAAAAGTGGCGTTCCTGCAGCATCTCTGGTGCATCTCACACGCCCCCTCATTCTTGGGGTAACACTTCTCTGTTCAGACAGCCAGAGCCTTAAAGTGGATGCAAGGACCCTCAGTGTCAGACCTGTCACGTGCTGGCCCCAACTTGGAGGTACAGGAGGTTGGCAGGGTTGGGGTCAGCTATTTGTCTGTGGCAAGGTGGGACCCTCCCACAGGAGTTGGACAGCAGGATGGGAGGAAGGCCCCTGCTCCCTGCCTGGCAGCTGTTCTTCCCCAGACGCTGAGCTAGAAAGTTTCAAGTCTTCATGCCACACCTGCACCAGAGGCCCAGGGATCTGGCAGGAGAAGGGGCCTCCAGAGGCCACAATGAATGAGAGGAATGGGGGTGGGGTGTCCAGAGCTACAAAACTGTCACCATTTATACCTTTTCAAGGCATGCCCCAGCAGCCCCCAAATTCTAAGGAAGTGCCCTCTGGAATCTCTCACGTCCACCAGTTTCTCGCCTTGTCCCGAGAGGGCCCTTGCAAGCTCTTGCCACAGTGCATGGCTGAGTCCCTGCCTCTGTCTATCTGGCAGCCACCAGAGAGCTCTTTTCAACACCCTCCTCCTACTTCATCTGCCAAAAGGCTCCTTTGGTCTATATAATGCATAAATGACTGAGTGAGGAGCCCATGGTCTTTCATCACTGATCCCACCAATTCCTTCAAGACCTTCAACACCCCAGCTCCCAATCAACGCTCAGATACCATGAATCTCAGTATGTTCTAGTTACAACCACTGGGATTGCTCAGCAGGGCCAAGCCCTATGCCAGCCCCTTTCTGTGCATCCTCTTCCTTAATCCTCAGGCTGGATAATCAGGTAGTTTGTAGCATTGCATCTCCATTTCACACATGAGAAATCCAGTTGACTCCAATTTCCTCTCCTAGGCCACCCTGGGGCATACCCTGTGGGGGAGGGAGGGAGAGGTGGGACTGATGACAGCTGGCTGGAAGGGCAGGAACCTGATGGCCTGAGTGCCCCAGCCTGTCCAGCCAGGATGCAAATGAACCACGAGGTTGAAGAGAACCATTCTTTGAGTGCCCAAGGATTCATGTCTCTTCCTGCAGGCTTCCAAGTTCCAAGCCAGGTCCTGCCCCACAAGTCCTGCAAGGTGGTGGAAAGTATGCTGCCTGGAGTGATGGCATTTGGCCCTGCTTTCCTTCCTCGCAGAGCAAGGGACAGCAGCCAGGAACAGGCTTATGTTTTCCAGCCTGGATCCTGGATCCTTTACAGCCTCATTCAGGCCACAAGACCCATGCTGCTGAGACACATGGACAAGCATGAGCCAAAAAGGGGGCCTGAGGTCTGCTCCCACCCACAGGTCAGCCCTCTCTCGCCTCTGCCTACCTCGGGAAGCCAATGGCATTCCACACATTCCAATGTGGAATGCGTCATGCCCAGGAGAAAGTTGAGGCTGATCTCATTCCATTCACATCCTCTCCCAGCTTCTGGTAGCAATGCAGGCTCAAGGACTGGAGATGTGAGCCCTGGCATGGTACTAGGGGATGAGAAAGGCCCCACCAGTAGGGCTTAGCTGAGCTCCTGGGAAGGGCCAGGCTGGCCACATGCCCTCAGGAACCTGGCCCTGCTCCTCTGCTCTTGCCCCAATGCAGGACAGGTCCCCTGTGCAGTGCAGGATCCAGGTTGCAAGCACTTAGCATGGAGAAGGGAAAGGGCAGGCCTCAGCCGTCGTCATCTGCATTCCTATATCATGGCACCACTTGTGTGTGTCTCTCTGTGTGTGAATGTGGGTGTGCAAATGTCTGTGTGTACCTGTTCCACTGAGTCTGTGTCTGAACCTGTACATGTGTCCCTGGGAGCCAGCCTCTGCATCCATGTGGTTCTCAGTGCATAATCACACAGCAAGTGCTATGTGTGTGTCTGCGCCGCGTGGGTCTCTGCATAGGCGTCTGTGTGTGAATGGTGGTGTGGGTGATGGCACATGTGGTCTCTGCATGGATGGAGGAGTGTGTGTCTGCATGTCTGTGGGCCAGGGAAAAAGGAAAGAGACGTGTCATCTCCAATATTTTAGGAAGGCAGTCAGCTTGGGCTCTGGGCTTATTCTTCCCATATGGAGCATCTTCTCCACTTCTTAGTCCAAAGGACCAAGTCCTTCCTGTTCTGAAAGGCCTGAATCTGTCTCATCCACTCATTCATTCATTCATTCCTCAACCAAATACAGACTCTGTCCTCCGTGGGCTTTGCCAGGCTTCCTGCTGTCACCACAACCACAGTGCCCTGTCTTCTTCGCATAGTGACTTCAATGGCCAGCGCTCATCAAATGCCACCCGTGTGCCAGGCTCTGTGCATAGAACCTGACACCTACCCCTTCACGCATGATCCATGACATCTGTGAGCGGGCTAATGGAGTATCTTTCTACAGGTGAAAACTTAATGAGCTTTTGCAACTTGTCCAGGGTCACACATCTGATAAGCAGGTAACAGGGAAGAAAATCAATTTCTGATTTTGAGCACAAGTGCCTGGCTCATAGTGACCACCAGTCTCCAAGGAGCACTTGTATTGCGTGTCCATGTCTTGCATTTGCCATGCAGGTGGGCCTTGGGTGTCACACTTCTGGGTGGTCCCTTTCAGGCCCGATACGCACTGTGGGTATTACACATGGGAAGTCCAGGGCTCCACCCAGCAGAGCAGAGTCAAGTGGCTTAAATATGTGTACTCTCAGCTGCTCTGGGTCTCCAGACAGCAGGAGGCAACAGGGCAGCCCTCTGCACACGCACTCTGCACTCTTGAGGCAAGCAGGTCCTTGGGGCTGCTGCAGACCTCTGGGTTGGAAGCCACATGCACACATGCACGAGCTCCTTCCTACCTCACGGCTGTGGAATCCCTTCTGTAACCACAAGTGCTAGGACGTTCTTTTTCCCAGAAGCTCAGCCCAGAAAGAGATGATTTGAAACATTAAAATAGACACACTTCTCTTCTTAATGAAGGGCTCTCTGGACTTGGTTGTTTAAAATTAAATCCAATAGTCCGGAAGGATGACAACCATCTGGCTTATTTTAAAATTCAATTTCAAATCTGTATACTGGTGCCTGTTGCCAGAGACCACAATGACTGAGGCTTCCTAAAGACTCACAGGAGAGGGGCTGGGGATTTAGCTCAGCGGCATAAGTGCCTGCTTTGCAAGTGTGCGGTCGTGAGTTCGATTCCTGGTACCGATAAAAAAGAAAAAGACAAAAAATAAAGACTCACAGGAGCCGGACACTTGTCTTACATGGGACTTGTCACATCCTATCACTCAGGGAGGCCCAGGGAGTGATCAGCACCACTTGCAGAAGGGAAAATCAAGGTGCAGAGAAGTTAGGGAAGTACCCACTTTAGCTGAGTGGCTAAGTGGAAAGTAGGGATAAGGAGGGAGCCCTGTTCGAGCCTGCGTGACATTTAACTTCTGCGGCATCTGTCGGTGATTTGCAAATTCAAGAACATGCCAGTGGGGGCTGTCACCAACAAGGAAGAGTCATCCAATTTGAAAATCTCTCTGGAGATGACATCAGCAACAAAACAAGCCAGCAAACAAGCTACTGGGAGTGTGGCTAAAAGCTCAACCCTAAATTGGCTGCTCCCAGAGGGTCCTTTTTGCGGGCCAGATCGGACCCCAACTGTGTTTTTTCTCTTTCCCTTTCCAGAAGACGCCTTTTAATGTCACAACAGGTGCTGCCACCATGGAGTCATGACATCCCATTATACCTGCTCTCCAGCAGACCAACTGGTGCGTTCCAGGGCCCTCTGTTCCCAGGGCAAGCTGATGCCCATCACCAATGAGTTCGTACATCTTGTTCTCAAAGACTGCAGTTTTATGCGACGTTTTAAAAAAATTGGCATATGACATTCAGACCCTCCCCCTCAGCCATCATGTGGCTTCCCAGCACCCCAAACCTGACGCACTCCACATGCCCTTACTGTTTTCCCCCTTCATGAGCCACCACCGATGCTCCTGCACCCCAAGGCTGGAAGCACCCTTTGCATGTGCTCTCTTCCCAGTGCCCACTGGCCATTTGGCTCCACTGATGCCTGTTCTGTCCTCAGTGGTTTTACACTCACACTTCTGGTGCCCAGCCAGGTGAGCAAGGAGAATCGTGGAAGTCCTTTCTGCACTGGGCTCATCTCTAAGCCAGTTCTCAGATGTTTACCCACGTTGATCCTGGCATCCACCCATGACTCGCTTGGTCTTTCCTGCAGCTTGTCAATGCCTGAGGCTCAACCCACTCTCTGCAATTCTCTATTCCTCTTTATCTTTCACAATCCTACAAACCCTCGGGATCAAATTTAATCACAAACCTGACATGGTGGCCCATGCCTGTAATCCCACCATTCTGGAGGCTGACACAGGACGATCACTGAGGTTCAAGGTCATCCTGGGCTACTTAGTGAATCCTAAACTAGCCTGAGCTGCACAGTGAGACCTTATCTCAAAAAAAAGTTTAATCACACATTTGTTCATAAATATGTATTGAGTGCTACCATGACCCAGACATTGCGTGAGACCTTGGGACACACGGCCCAACCACATAGGTAAATTTCTTGCTGACA